GCTAATTTTACATACTCCTCATTCTAACTTTTTCAAAAAAGACACAGAAAACTATGGTTAGCTAGGGCAACTTGCAACATATATGTTTTAATGCCTACACAGGATAGAAAGCATATGCTAGATAAGCAAGTTGGGCATGGGCACTTAGGGACATTTATAGAGAGATAACACATTAATGCATTCCTGATAATGACTTTGCTCGGGCTTGAACTTCACGGAATAATCAACTGGCATGATTATATTAGTTTTTGCCAACAGGGTCAAGCTGACCAGCAGCCAAACTTTCAAGGGTACCCCTCGACTATGCTCATTTTTCATGGAAATAATAATATTAATAATATTTCATGTGAAATAATTAAGAAATCAACTAGGAACAATTACAAAAGATGTACCACACTGATGTCCTTATATGGCTATCACATCACAAAATTCCCAGGGATAGTAATTTTAACCTATGAAAACATTCTACCTAGAAGTGCATCTTCACCGCCCTACACCGGATCTCTAAATCCAAAGAAGAGTAAGGGAAAGAAGAATAAGAGAAAAGAAGAGTGGGGGACAGGAAAGCCCAATCTTCATTCATTCAGCCACTAATGTAAACTCTCCTCATCTGAATTAAAAAACTATTCTTGCATGGCACTCAAAAAAGGAATAAACAGGAAGAAGGGTTTCATTCTGCTCAAGTGCAAATTTAAGAAAAAGTTTTGATCCTGTTGCAAGTACTAACTCCATAGTTTTCAAAATTCTGAAGATTAGAATTTACATACATTAATAAACTAATTTCAAGACTTTAATAAGTGCAGTAAAAAAACCTTTAGATTCTGTGAGGTTTACAAACCTAAGTTTAGAAAGAGCACAAGTTTAGGTTTTGAATCCTCAATAACTAAATCAAATTGTCTGCAAATAATGCATCATCTTGGATTTTCCATGATCAGAACATTCAAGTCCTAGTGCTGAATTTCAGCAACTGATTAATTTATAACTTATTACTCAGAGCCATTTGACTGAGTTACCGACGTCCAGTTGGTGAATGGACAACCTAGGTAACAAGTAAAATAGAGTAAGATCACCGGAATAAATACTTGACACTTGCTAAGAAGTATAAGCTTAAACATGGGAACAAAAACACTGAAAATGAAGGGGTTTAATTTTATAAAATATCAGGTTCTATTTGTTAAATTAATCCATGTAGATAAAATATACTTAATTTTAAAGTGACAGAAATTTATGTTGGAAAACATATCAATACCTGCTTGGTACATTGTAAATTACCCAATAAATATTTGTTGCATGAACAGACTTCTCTAAAATTCCAGTAAGCAAATGTCAAGTTTGGCTCCTGAACTAGCTTTATGCACAATGACATGTAAAGCTCAATTTGATGGATGCTACCCAGTGATATACTCTTAACTTCTAGTCTTAAATGTAGTTATTTTCTGGGGGAAATAAGAGATACAAAAATCTTTAGACCAAAATGACAGTCAGGTACAAAGAGATCTTCAAACATATTCATTTGTATATATTATGAATTCCAAACATTAAGTATCGCAAGCTCACAAGTGCTATTTTTAAGGCTCAGTAAAATAGAAAATTAAATTCTTTTAAGTTATACTGACCATAACTTATAATGCCTAAAGCAGCTATTCACAAAATAGGTACTCAAGAAATGTCACCTAATAATTTCAAGCATACTTTGTGAATTCTTCCTTAAAGGAACTTGTCCACTAAATTGTTTACATGCTCCTTAATTTTATATGGCCACCTCCACCAAGTGAAAGTGCTAAAAGTAAATCTCAATTTTAAAACATTCGCCAAGAAGATATGCTGAAAGAGACAGAAGTGCTTTAAAGTATACCATTGGTTTTATAAATGAGATACTTCATAAAAAAATGAGACCAGATAACGAAACTACACATTAAGCCTCTTCACATTTTGTGAAATAATACATAACAAATTATAATTTAGCATCCCTGATCTTCAGAAGAATTAAGAGGTAGAAAACTTTTATCTGGAAGATCTCAGAGTGAAGCTAATTTTAGAGGGTATGCCTTGCAGTTTAGCCCACCAAGCAAATGACTACATGTCTAATATTAGGAAGAAGCAGAATTTCAAAAAAGCTGAATAAGGCAAGGATTTAAAAACTGTCGTATTTTGGAAGTGAAACAAATTCATTCAATGTTATTATCCCAACTACTTTAAAACTCTTCAAAAGTCAAAGTAAAAGATTGTAGATAGGCAAAGTGCTAACTTTGAAATGTGAAATTATTCAAAAGAGCATTAGTGGCCAGATAAGGCTAGCATGGAAAAAAATACTGTTTAGGTAAACAAAAGATCTCACAAAAACCAAATCAAAGCACAGCATTATCATTTTAGACGAAGGCTGTTTTTTAGGAGTTGGAGAAAAAGCTGAGGAAGTTAATCCCTCCAGACAAATCTTTATGTAAAAAAACAATAATCAAGCACTCAAATTTCAAGAAACTTCAATTAAAAAATAAATACCCTGCTTAATTTAAAATTTTTATCTAACGTGACAAACATCAATAAATGGGTTGCATTAAAACACGAGGCCAACGGTCTTTTAAAGCTTTAGTAAGCTGCTCAGGCACCTTTTCCCTCATACATTCTACTTTTATACACTAGAAATCCTAAATTGGGCACTATCAGTTCCTTAGGTAACATTCTCAAGGAACACACTCATCCCTGTAAAAATTGCTTGTAATGTACTTATAACTGGTTAAGTACACATTTATAAAGTCTACCAAATTGTAATATAAAATCGGTTTTGACAATTCTGAGTATCTTCATTTGAGGAATCAATTCAGAATTTAGAAACTATTAACTCAATCAGAGTTTTTAAAAGGACTCAATTATGGAGACATTGTGGTTTAAGTCCAGTGGCCTCTAGTGAGGCCTTCCGCATTACTCAAAATATGAAGTTGTTTTCTTCTACAGGTTAATGCTGCTGAGTGCTAGTTTATAGTACTAAAATTCAAATCTTCAGGGTAATGTCAGTAGGTAGCAAGGACCACCTATTCTGTCACCCCAGCAGAGAAAGGGCATCTATCACCACTGTAGACACACATCTGTAAACTTGCACACTAATTTTAATCTTAACAAGGAATTTCAGTGTCTTAGTGGTTTTAAGTTAAAAAGACGGTTCAAGCATTGTGTCCTTTTGTTCTTTAGGGTTATGAATAGCTTATTGGAAAACCCAGAGCCTTCTGGATCTGTGAGGTAGTAGGCGGCAATCCTCATCATGCATAGATCACACTTCTCCGAAGTTGGTATGGCCTGTCTCCTTGGCATGGTCCCTTGCTTCTGCTTGTCCAGTTAATCCCTTCTGACATACCATGCATCTCAGGGTGAAGCGGTTTACATCAGTAAATTGTCTCTTTCTTCTAGCTTCGTCTGCTAATTCCAGTGCTTGTACAAGAACAATATCATCATTAGAGGAGAAAATGGTCAGAGGCGGGGTGTCTGGGTCAGGGAAGTTACGCTGAAGTGGATCATAGTGGATGCCATCATATATAAGCAGGACCCTTTTGGTGTATCCTGCATCTTCCCCAAAACGATCAATTCTTACTGTCTGTGTATCCACTACACATATTTCACACTGATAAAATTTAGACAAAATTGATATCTCAATAGCTCCTCCCCAAGTATCATCCCTTTTGATCCAGTCACAGTACTCTTGATTTGTTTTTCCCAGGATTGCCTCACTATAGAAGTCTGGATCACTTGCTACAATTTGTGCTATGAGGCGTCTCATCTCAGGGGCACAAGCTGGATTCAAGACTCCTCCTTCTACAACATAATATACACTGGTAAAGAGACAAGAGTTGTCTGCCGGGACCACAGTTCTGCTAAGCACAGGCAAAGTTTCCCTGACGTAACTAGGAGCACCATGTTTTGTAAATGCAGGTGAAGTTTTGGGCCTGGTTTGGTCTTCTTCAACGATCAGCATGTCGCCTGTTAAAAATAAAACAAATCCAGAACTGCAGAGAAATTACAGATGAAATTGGTTGTTCACTAGCCAAGTTTGTAAATTACAAACAGAAGGAGTTGAAGTATAAACTGGGTTACTAGGGAGAATACAGCTTTGCAAACAGGAAACCAGTAACACTTCTTGTTCACTCAATCTCCATAAAGATGAAAACAGAAGGAAGAAGAAAAACATTTTAGGCTGCATACCAATTTAGTGAAGGATCCCTGGTTATACACCTTTATACTTACTTAAAAAGATACATTTCAAGAACAAAATTTCCTTAATGCTTCCTCTCTGCATTTTAAAAGCACAAATCTTCCAAAAAGTGTTTACCCTAGACTACACCACTAGGGGGTTCTCGTTCTTCTGAAACTTAACATATCCACCCTGTAGTGTTTACAGGATCCTTGATACAACAGCTGAAAGCTTTTAATGATCAATATTGCTGTTCAAGTTTTAATATTGGACAGAAGTAACTGCAATTGTTTAGAATCTGAAAGGGACTCACTCCAGTGGATGTGTAAAACCATACTCTACAATGAGTACACCTATTTATCTAAGTATATGAGAAGGTGATTGCAAAAACCAACTGGCGAACCAAAAAAGAAAGTGTCCTGAATCCTTCAGACCTGCTATCTTCTTTCACGTTATAAGGGAAAGGCCACCAGGACAGAGAAAACAGATCTTATTTTTTTAGACTTTTGTAGATGCAGAAGGAAAACAAAATGAATGAGACGTTTTCAAGGTAGGCTAGGAAACAGACTGAGGAAGGGGGGACTCCGAGGCTTTGGGCTTCTCATACAGATTGGGCCCTCCCTGTCTCTTTCAACCATATATAAAATCAAGGAGTTGCTAGCCCACACTTGCCCCGGCCTCCGTCAGAGTTCTCCGTTCTTTCACCTATCCTTATCCCTGTTCTCAAACCCAACTGACCCACAGACCAGTTCTCTGTTCTCCCCCACGCTCTTCTCCGTCCTCCCAGGGCTTTCCCTGGTCCCAGGCTCAATTCCCTCACCTGACTGGATGGGCAAATCCCCAAGAATGGTATCCTCGTTGCTGAGATCCAGGCATTCGGGCGGGTATCCGACGAGGATTCGCTGACAGCCGGGGGCGATCCCGGTGATGGCGGCAATTTGGCCCTGGAGTTCCCGCACTCGGGTTCGGCTAGACAACCCCTGCAAAACATGGGTGCCATCCTTGGCCTTGCAGCGGAGCCGCCACATCGTGTCGGTCCAGCTGCCCACAGGCCAGACACCCGTGGGGCCAGCTTTGGTCCCGGCAGCAGATTGGCCGACGCCGCCAGGGCAACCAGCCGCCGGACGGACTCCAAAATGGCCACCCTTTGCCGGACCAAACATCGCGAGAAATCGCTGGTGGCCACAGATCTCGCGATACTTTCTGGCAGCGTAAGTCTTAGCACTTTAAGAAGAGCGAACTCTCTTAAAGAGACAACTAACTCACTGCAGCCAACGCCAGGGAGCCAAAGGATGAAGATTTATCCGTTTTCCTAAAGTACAGTGGCTTTGCTACCTGTAGAGTGAGTGAGGTGCCTTGTGCGTTGGCAGCATATATGCTCAAGGAAAGAGGGCGGAGGAAGGAGTTCCTCAATCGGGTACATCGGAATGTAACCTTGCACTTAGTGAGGTCGGAAATTATTAAATTGGAGCTTCCAGACTACACCTGGAGAAACAGAGTCATAGTTCAGAACGCAAACGAATGCCAAGAATGGTCAGTGAGTCAAAAGACCTGTCAAAAACAAGCAGACCCTCGTGACTAGGAATCATGGCTGCAGCAAACATTGACTCATTGAGGTTAAGGAAGCCGACTGGCCTTGCCACCTCGACGCTGTAACTTGAAAACGTCCATTTGCCACATCAGAAAGCGCAGTACGAGGTCAGCATCTGGGCCTAGGGCAATTGCTACATTTGGGTGGTAGCAGTATAAGGAGGAGGAAAGAAGAGGACTAACGTGTGACATCCGGATTCCAGTTCAGGCCCTGGGCTTACAGATACGAAGACGACTCCATTCCTGCCTTCAGTACTACAAGTACTGTCATGGGGAGAGAGGGTGGGGTGTAAAAGGTACATAACCATTGAATTTCACAGCCACGTGATAATGCTAGATTATGTGACCTTTTCCAACCCCGTATCCCTTAGAACCAAGGACTGTGCCTCAAATAAGTGCTCAATAAATACCTGCTGAATGGATAAAGGCAGTTGTACTGGTGCAGATAAGGCAACCATAACATACACACTGGGAGTTGTAAAAAACTTCAAAAAGGAGATACTAGTTGAGCTGTTTTGAAGGATGAATTTAATCCCCAGGTGAAGGAGGAATAAAGACATCTCTGAATTTATCTCTTTTCCAAGAAATCCACATTCCTTGTTCTTTTTCCATCCTGGATCCGAAGAAGCACGCCTGCGTAGTGGGTTTATCAACAGCATCAAGCATCATCAGAAGGGCCTGGGGGCAACTGTGAAAAGTTCGCTGGAAATATGCAAACTCACCTCTACTATGTAAAAGCCTCTCTCTACCTCTAAGTTATATGGAAGTTTTGCCTCTTTTGCCCCATTTTGTGACCCAATTTTTTGCTGAAGCAATTTTCCTTTTCTGGTTTTTCAAGGAGACCAGAACAGATGGTATAGCGTAGGAGGTAGAGGGAGAATAAAGGCGACGATTAGAAGACCACTGGAGTATGTGGATGTGTCCAGGGAAGTTCCCGGTTCAGCAGTAAGAGTAGTTGATTTTCTTACGTTACAGTGTCTGGCCAATGGGAAGGAGATGCAAACACCCTACGGTGTAATCAGCTCAAGTACGGTGGTATCTTATTTTAGCAAAGCACCACCTTCTGAAGTTTACGTTCCAATTTATGGATCTAACAAGGTCCCTCTGGGATTCAGGGAGGAAAGCGTTAACCTCCACAGTGTTTTCCCGTCACCAAAAAGTCACATCCCCTCAAGACGTCTGTTTCGTCCACTCTCGCGAGAGTATGAAAAAACGTCATTTTATTAACCCCGCCCCCAGCCCTATGAGTTGCCTAGCAACGATGCAACCAACCTCCACAGTGCGAGGAAACTTGGGAGCTTGCGATCTTTCGGCTTCACAGTTTCTTCCACCTTCGGGAGCCAGCGTCCGCGATTCCGATTTGAGCCCCGCCCCAGGGAGCCTGCGGGCGCTGGATTGGCCGATGATTCTCTCCAGGTGAGGACCGACGCCAGTGTGGCGGAGCCTGACAGGAGCACGTGATTTGCCGGCTGCTGGTGTGCCGGGCTCTGGCCACAGTGTGTCGGCTCCCGTCCGCAGCCTAACGGGGCAAGTACCCGGGCCACTGGCGGCAGGGAGCTTAGGAGGGATCATAGGGTGAGCGGTGGCTGTACGGCGCCTCGAAGGGCCGGGGCGGGCGGGAGAGGGCGGGGGACTGCGTGCGCCGGGATGAGGTGAGGGACGGAGATGCCTTGCCGTTTTCGGGGAAGTGCCGGCATTGCTGGGAGCGCAGACGTTCTGGGACCGGGAGCGGCGGCTAGTGCTTGGGTTAGAGGATTTGTGTGGTCAGTGGAAGAACAGTGCAAGGTCCTTGAAGCAGTAGGACCTTCGGTCCTCACGAGCCCCTTGTCTGGGTGTGGGGCGTGAGCGCGAGGCTATCCCACCCCGGTTCGAGTCGGGACTTCTTATTAAGCAGGTGGCCTTGGGGAAGTCATTTACCACCTCTTTGCGCCCCATTATTCCTTATAGACTGTGAACCAAGGGATGGGTGGGAAGAGGGTGCAGAGCAAGGGCGTGAGAATGGGAACACCAGAGGAGAAATGGTGACGCGCTAGGGTCGTCACGGGGTCCAGTTACAGTTTTTCCTTCAGGCAACATGTTTGAGATTTCCCCCACTTCTCCCATTTTTGTCAGGAATAAATCCTGCCATTGGACTGAAATGACTGTATGATAATGAACTCGATCTATTTGCAACCCATTTCACCCCCGACTTTTACCATTACTCTCCCCAGCTTTTTAAACTAAAGTAGAGGTCAGGAAGGAACTTGGATAAGCCACCTAATTTTATTAAACTTAGTTTTTCAACCTGTAAATTGGGGGAAAGTAACAATGGTGGCAAATAAGCCTTATGGAAGGATTATTAGGATTGAAGGAGCTAATTTATGTGAATGTTAACTCCTAAGTCAGCATTAAAAAGGCAAGATTCTAGTATAACTGAGTCTATAGATGAGGAAACAGGGCTAGGGAGGACTTATCAAAGGACATGTAGCTATTAACCCAGAGCAAGAGGGCTGGACTGGACTCTTGGTCCAGGATTCTTTCACTTCTATTGCACCTGTCCTCTTCCCTGGGTGTTTTGAGGTATGTCTCCTTCCTTACATCCCTTTTGTCCCTTTCAGACATCTCCGGAAGAGCTGCCATGTCTGGGAATACTGCATCTTCGTCAGAACAGAACAACAGCTATGAAACCAAAGCCTCCAATCTTCGAATGTCAGAGAAGAAATGTTGTGAGTCTGGGGAAAGAGGAGGGGCTGCTCCCTCCCAGAGTTCTATCTTGGGAATATAGTTGTAATCCTAGACTTTAATGCTTGTTGGGAGTGAGAGAGAATTCTTTGACATGGGAATTTAAAACCAAGTCTACAACGGGAATTTCTTGTGTGAAACAAGTAGGCCCGGTGAAATGTCTGTCATTGGGTCCAGACTGCTGGTATATCCCCACATTTTCTTACTGCCTTCTTTGACTGTCTCGTGGGGGAATCTGCACATTCGATTGATGTTGAAAGTTACCCACTCAGTGATTAAGGCAGAGTGGCAGGTGCAGGGATTACTTAGGGCTGATACTGTTAACAGTTTCCCTTCATTTTTTGGGCTACATTTTGTGAAGGTGCTGCTCACTGCAGAAATTGCAGTAAGAGCCAGTAGTAGTTCATTTTAGCAGGCCTCAGGGGGAGTCAGGTCTGACGTCTGACCTCTCACTCTCACTTGGGCACCCTGCATTCCCACAGGGTTAGCCTTTGCACTTTGCAAGGTATTTTTCCTGTAGGTTTATTCCTGTGGGGACAGGTTTGACCAGAGCGTTTCCATGCCAGTTCTTTAGACAGAGATAACAGGTGGGTTTTCTGAGAAGTGAAGCATCATTTCTTCTCCCCTTGCATTTGCATTCCTAACCCTCATTGTAGCCTGTATGGGCAAAAGGTCCTGGGCAACTGGCCCTTACAATTTGGGGGGAACCTCAAGGAATGCTGACCCTTGCCCTTGCTTCCAGGTGCACCTTTCCTCTGGAACCCTGTCAGTCAGTGCTCACTTCAGTGGTCATGTATATAGCAGGTGGAAACAGCCAACCAGCATGAGACCTGGAATCATGTCCTGTTCAAAGCTTTCCCCAGAGTCTCGACCTTGATGTTGTGTCCTTGTCAGTCTCATGATTAATGATGATAATCTCTTTTTATCTAGCACTGATGAAGCTTGCTGAGCTTTGCACTGCAACAGAGGCAGCTTTTTGTATGTGGTACTGGGGTTGGCACACCTGTATAATTAGGGTCTCCTTTCTCTGCCAGGGCAGGAAGCCAGGTACCGAGGGCAAGTACCCCATGGGAGATAACTAGTATAGCACGATGTTTGAGTGCAGCCCTTGGAATCAGACTGCCCGGGTTTGAATCCTAGTTTTACTCCTTCCTAGCTGTGTGCCCTTGAATAAGTTGCTTATCCTCTCTGTGCCTTAGTTTGCTTATTTATAAAATGGGGATACTGATATTATCTTCCCCTAGAGTGATGTGAGAATTAAATGAGTAAATATAGGAAAGCACTTAGAAGAGTGTTTATAGGGCGCCTGGGTGGCTCAGTTGGTTAAGCGACTGCCTTCGGCTCAGGTCATGATCCTGGAGTCCCGGGATCGAGTCCCGCATAGGGCTCCCTGCTCGGCGGGGAGCCTGCTTCTGCCTCTGACCCTCCCCTCTCTCATGTGCTCTCTCTCTCTCATTCTCTCTGTCTCAAGTAAATAAATAAAATCTTTAAAAAAAAAAAAAAGAGTGTTTATAGAGCTAAAGTGTATTTTTTTATTTTTTATTTTCATTGCATATAAATTGAATTATACTGTAAATGGCTGTGCTGGGAGCTCACTATTTATAAGAGCCCTATGAAGAATTAGGTTTTCAGTAAAGAATGTTTTCTCCTCTTGCTTGACAGTATCGTAGCCCAGATTTGGGAGCACTAAAGAGAGGTGCATTTGTGTTGCTGGGACACTTGATCCAAAAGAGTACAGAGAGCAGGTGGTGGCATGGGCTGTACAGTGCCCGGCGTCAGCTGTATTCTCCACAGAAACCTGCTCCGTGCCATTCAAACTCTTCTGCAGTTTTTCTGCATTGAGGGCTCTCGATAGTCAAGGAGGCAGTAATCCCAGGTCTCCTTTCTTCTTTTTTTTTTTTTTAGATTTTATTTATTTGCGAGAAAGAGAATGAGAGACAGAGAGCATGAGAGGGGGGAGGGTCAGAGGGAGAAGCAGGCTCCCCGCCGAGCAGGGAGCCCGATGCGGGACTCGATCCCGGGACTCCAGGATCATGATCTGAGCCGAAGGCAGCCGCTTAACTAACTGAGCCACCCAGGCGCCCCCCGACCCCCCCAGGTCTCCTTTCTATCCTCTAGACTCTAAGTCCTGCTCTGCACTCTGATTTCTCCTCTCCAGCATCTCCAAAGCATCTGGGGGGTAGAGGGAGAGGTTGTCCCGACTCCACCATCATTCATTTACCCCCTTCTCTTCTTCCCTCATGGGTTGGACTGGGAGACTTTTGCAGCCATAGTCAAAGGAGAAATACAGTCATGAAAATACCTGTTTGTTTATTTACTTCTCTCCATTGCTTGCCTGTGTGTTGGAGCAGGCTCCCCTGGCTGCTTAGTGCTCACACCCAGCAGTTGCTTTATTAATAGCTCAGCCGTTATCTCCTTGCTGCCAATTACACCTGTGTTGGCTGGCTTCACCCTGGGAAATGCCTGAGCTGGAGGACTGGAGAAGGACTTCAGGGAGCCAAAACCTCCAAAGGAGCATTACTGGAACTTCAGCTGCTCCAGGGATGGGAGTGACGGGTGGTTGCTGGCTGAGGTGCCTGTAAGATGCTCAGATGACTGGTTTCAGGGCATCTTAAAGGCACCTCAGGAATTAGGCAGTTGGGGACAGCAGTGAGTGTGTATATGCTTTTCTTTGTTTCTTTTCTTCTTTGAGATTTTGAGTAGGTCTGAAACAGACAAGTTCCCATGTGTACCTTTCCGCAGTTACAAAAGCAATATGTGTTCATGAAAAATTCAAACAAAACAGAGAGAAAGTGAAAAGTAAAAAAATCTCTCACAATTTCTCCTGTCCCTGTTAAGTTTGATTCTTCCCGACATCTTCTGGTGTATTCTGTCAATGAAAATAGGTTCATACTGTACATATTCTATTCTGCTGCTATTTTCCTTTTTTTTTTTTTTAACTTACTATCTTGTGGAGGGGTTTGTGTGTGTGTGTGTGTGTGTGTGTGTGTGTAAATCCAGATTTACCTTTGTGCATAGTATTGCATTCTAGGGATATGCCAGCCTCCCCCTGATGGACATTTGCCCTGTTTTTGGTTTTCCACCATCACAAAGAATGCTGCAGGAGCATCCTTGCCCATATATACCTTAGCATGTGCGTGCTAGCAACTTTTCCTACGGAAGTAATAGGAGGAAAGACACATTTGAAATGTTGACCAGCATTACTAATTTATTCTCCGAACAGTTCTGTATTGTTAGCTGTTTTTCATATTTCAGAGCGCATGGGTGGAAATCGGGTATTGTCAACTATGGCTGCGCTGGCTCAGTAAAACGTTAACGTTCTCAGTGTTTAGCCACAGAACTTGGATATCTCATGCCTGTCAAATAGCAGGAGATAATTAGCAGTTTTATGACTACTCATGAATGAAAAAATAACTAATGAAACACATTTTAATAGGCTGCATATTTTAAAAATATTGGGCCTATTTAGAACGAATAGTGGAAGAAGGCCTTGTTTATGAAAAGGCAGGGAACCACTGACCTACTAGACTACCTTTCAGGATTAGATTAGAGAATTTAGTCATGCTTACCACATGGTTCCCTTGGCCAGGTGCTGACAGGAGCTGGTGGCTGGGACTGATGGGGCAGTCATGAAACCAGGAGTCCGGTCAGAGCCCTGACCTTGACTTTCTACTGTGGAATTGTGGACCAAGCTCTTCACCTCCCTGGGTTTGGGTGTTTCTGTTTGTAGTAGGGAAGTTATCAAACCTTCAATTCCTCTATGTTCATGAGGGAGAATAAGTTTAAGATGGAGAAAGGGAGTTAAACCTTGTTTAAAGAAGGCAGGAGAGAATTTCAGGATTAAAACAGCTTTCCATTATACGCCAATGGGTATGTTACATTGTCTCTGAAATTAATCAGCTTGAACTATATACTATTCAGATTAAGGTGCTAGTGGTTTTGTTTTGTAACAGGCAGGACAGAATGTTCCTAATTTTGTCAACGTGGCAGTTTGAAATAGGACGTGTGTTTTAGTTTTGTATTCTGGAAAATGAGAAGCCCAGAGGTGGGAGGTGTGGAGCCTTGGGGAGTCCTTTTTAGAGACCCCTGTTTTTTGTTGTTGTTTTTTTTTTTTTTTTTTTTTTTTTTTTTGCTCTTAGCGTTCCCTGCCCAGTTAGGTAAACATGTAGCAGCTGGTCCCCTGTTTAGCTTCAGAGCAGCTCCCAAGCATCAGTTCATTTTTAGCTTTAGGGAGGGTAAGAGGACCTTTGGGGGAAGCGTCTAATGGGCTGGAAGTTGTGGACAAAGCAGGCCCAGAAGTGCAAGTAATGTGGCAAATCATGGGGGATTGAGCAGAGCATGGTGGTGAGCTGGAGAAAGTGAAGACTCAGGAGGATTTTACTACTGAAAGGCGAGGCAGTTGTACCCAGGCAGACCTGTCAGGAGTCAGAGATCAGGGATTCACATCAGCTGAGGCTGCAGGGTGGCATTTTCCCGCCTGTGTGCTTCCTATTTGGACACAGATGAAAATCACTTCCGTTGCTCCTTGCCTGCTTTGGAGGAGTCCCTGCCCAGGCCCAGGAATTGTCCATGTGCACAGCAGGTAAAGGACTAGAGGCCAAGTCCTCTGACCCCGAGTCTGGGCATCCACTCCCGCCTCACCACTTGGGGCCACTCTAGTTTCTGGGTACTTCTTGCCCAATACCCCTAGGAAACTCCCTTCCTTCTGAGGTCCGTCCTCTACCCAGGCCCTTCTGCCCACTTCTCCAGTGAGAGCTGTTGAGAATGACTTTCCCGTGCAACCACCTAAGTTTTACCCAGTTGTTTCTCAGCCTTACGGGCCACCTCGTCCCAGCACAGAGAAGCAGCAGTACCCGGCAGGGCACCTTCCAGAAGGCAGTGTCAGGAAGTGGAAAGCAAGGTGATGCTTTCCCTTCCTCATCCCTGGGCGGGGCCTCCCCTCACAAGAGTCTGGAGTCGTCCTACCCGACCTCGGTTGGTCCGGGCCCCAGAGAAGTGGTGGGCAGCAGTGGAGGCCCCTCTCCCACCACTCATCTGTGGCAGGATGGGCAGGGAGGAGCCCGGCCCTGTGAGCAGGCTGCGGAGGAAGCACAAGCTCTGGATTCTAGTGCTAGCTCTTCCATGACCCATCCTGTATCCTTAGGCGAGTCACCTGACCTTTGACCGTCTAGTTTGCCCCACCTGTCCACTGAGCCCTATCTCTGTACATGAGCATTCCTGAACTAAGTTTCCTCAGGAAGGATGGACCAGTGACTGTTCCTGTCTCTGGATTTCTTGCTTTCACATGGCCGTTGAGGCTGGCTGCCCACGCTGCCCTTGCAGGCTAGCTTTACCATGAAGCTTCCTGAGGGGTCTTGTCAGAACTTGTGTCAAGTAGGCTTTGCCACAGTCTGAATCTCACTATGGTTTAGAAATTCGGGCTTAAGCTTGTGTCCTGAGCACAAAAGCCAAAACAGTTTGAGACCAGCCTCTTTTTACAGTGGGCAGGCTAGTTCTTGCTCGTGGCTTTGAAGGGATAGATGGGATCCTCAGGATAGAAACTCTGTTGGACCTTTTGTAGGAGCCAGGCCGGCTCATCCCTGGGGAATCTCCAGGCACAAGGCGTGCCTCCACAGCTGTATCGTTCTTGTGTTATTAGACATTCTTTTGTTAAGGAAGGTGCCATGGTTCTTATCTTTCTAATCCTTGCCACTTTTGTCTCTCTTTCCACCTAAGGTACCTCTGTGGAGACTTTGCACATGTGGGGAAGACATGTCTTGACTTGGGTACTTCTTGGAAATTTACATGACCTTTTAGTTCTTTTTCAGGAGGTTGGCCTGATAGCTCCTCTATTTGCCATCCCAGTCTTCCCCTGGCTTGGCTGAGGTGTGTAAAGATTAAATGAGGTTATGGCTATGAAGTATCTAGCCCAGTGCACGAACCTTCTGCAGCCCCTAGTTGCTCAGTTCTGTTCTCTTTCCCCTCTAGCGTGGGCATCTTACATGACCAACTCCCCAACTCTCATCGTTATGATTGGCTTGCCAGCCCGGGGCAAAACCTATGTGTCCAAGAAACTCACGCGCTACCTCAACTGGATTGGGGTGCCCACCAAAGGTAGGTGCAGGTCATTTATTCCTTGGGAAGGGAAATGATTAGTTCTTGGGCCTCCCAAGCCTCTGGAGATCTGTTCTCCTTGGCATCAAGATGACAGGGTGCTCCTGGCAGAAATAGTGGCTGATTCCTGATTTGCTGGATTTATTCCCTGTTTACAGACTTGTTTCCTCTTGGCCTGGGTGGATTGGCCTAAATTTAAGGGCATGCCTTTGGTGGTGTAGCACTTTACCTCCATATAGATCATCTTGTCTAATCCTAGCAGTACTCCTGTGAAATCGCCAAAGTGGCTGAGGAAATTGAAACTCAGACAGTTTAAGACTTGTTCAAGGACTAATACATCTGAACTTGAATCTAACTTGACTCTAAATCTGGTATTGTTCCCAACATACCATGGTGCTTTTTTTCATTTCCTTGGCAACTCTGACATTAGACCAAGAAGTCCCCTTTGGTGGGGCCATTGTATTGTTTCACTGCTGAGGGCTGTTGGTGTCACCTGCAGTGTTTAATCTTGGGGTGTATCGGCGTGAAGCAGTCAAGTCCTATAAGTCCTACGACTTCTTCCGGCACGACAACGAGGAGGCCATGAAGATCCGCAAGTGAGTCTTCTTAGGCCTGACCTCCCAGCGAGCTCCTTCTCTGCCATCACAAGACTGGACGTGGCAGGGTTTGGTTTTCCTGTCAGTAAATATCCTTTGGGGATTTTAACTGGAGATTATTTGGTAGAGAGGTCACGTTGGGCTTGGGTAGGTAGCAGAACAGGCTCAGGGAGAGGCATGTGTGTTTGTAGGGTAAACCTGTAGAGTGAGACTTTATATGCATGGGGCAGGGGAATGGGAAAAATACAGGATAGTCTAAAAACCTCAGTGGGGAAGTTGAAAAGTCCAGTTAGGGGAAAATTTTGACCACTGGGAAAACTAAGCGGGAAGGGATATGACTCCTCTGGCAGCCCAGTTGTTCATGTCTCTGGCTGTGCCGGAGCTTGGTCTGGCGCTGCTCTTGCTGATGTCCTCTGTTCTCGGGGCAGACAGTGTGCTCTGGTGGCGCTGGAAGATGTGAAGGCGTACCTGACCGAGGAGAGCGGGCAGATCGCGGTAAGCCTTCCCTGCCTCTTCCCCATCTTGATCTCCACCCAAGAGACTGCACAGCCTCACCCGGAGTCTGCCTTGGTGGGATTCCAGTTCTCTCTGCCCGCTCATCTACTTTGCGGCCTCTCTCCCCAGGTGTTTGATGCCACCAATACGACTAGGGAGAGGAGGGACATGATTTTGAACTTTGCCAAGGAGAATTCCTTCAAGGTAGGGTTTGGCTCCCTGCTGGAGGAGAGGGATGAGTGGCAGTGGGGAGTCAAGAGGGACGTGAGGATCTCTTTGACTCTGGTGGGTGAGGAGGACAGGGTTGGCTATCCGCTTTTCTTTTCTTGGGAAATACCCCCAGTCCTTGAGTATCATCTTTCAGGTCCTTTCTCAGCCCCTTAGCCCGTATGTCTGAGGCCCTGGGGATGTGGTAAGAGCTGTTTTTAAATGAGGAGGCCTTGAAGGCCACTTTCATGCAAAAAAAATCCCGGGGGGTGTGGTGGCCATGGTGGGGCAGGTGTGAGCACAGGCTGTTAATGAACAGCCTGGGCACTTTTGACTCATTTATCACTGCCTTCTCTCCCTGGCCAGGTATTCTTTGTGGAATCTGTCTGCGATGATCCTGATGTCATTGCTGCCAACATCCTGGTGGGTGACACCCCTGCATACCACCACCTCCCTGTCCTTTCTGCCTTGTGTTATGTGTGTGTTGGTGGGTGAGGGGGGAGAGTCAACTGGGCAATGAAAGAAAGAAATGGACACGTTTAACAATGCAGGGTGATCTTTTTGATCTGCCAGAGCACCATTTTATACTTCCACATTCTTCCCATAGGAGAAGAAACCAAGGCTCTGAGGAATAAAGTAAGAATGAGCTGTTGAATGGAAGCCAAGACTTAGACCGTAGGAGTTATGGCCCTGTGTTCTGGGTATCAGCTGGATGCTGAGACCTAGGGATGTCCTCAGAGTAGATCAGCCTCTTCACTATCTGTCAGGGCCACCATGTAGGAAGGTCATCTGCCCACTCACTGTCTAACATTCAGGTCAGTGCTCTGTGCACTGAGTGTCTCATGCCCTGGATGGTCACGGTATAAACCAATGCCCATTTGATGGGTTGTACTGTTCTGTGTGGACATGGTATCATGATAGTGCTCTCCTAGCAGTGTGGGAACTTGGAAACGACTAAGAAGAGGTATCTGGTCCAAGTCAGGCATGCGTCAGATCAAGCACCCTATTCTGAGTGGTTGTACAGAGAAATTGAAGCCCATTCTGTGTGTCCCAGCAGGGCACATAAAGGGATTGGGCCCAGGAGCAGTTTGAGCTGTGTGACTGCCTCAGTCCTTCAGCCAAGGGCAGGCACATGACTCCCCAGTTGTCTTTCCTTTCTTCGTTGCCAGGGTCACAGGACAGGGAGGGGGTGCTCACTGAACGGGGATTGCCAACGCTCCAGTGAAAGAGCCCTTCTGTGGACTTCCTTCTCTTTATTTAGCATTGGCTGTTTGTACAAGGGCTGTTAAGGACACACCTCTGACCAGGCCCTACTCTCCCTATGATTCCAGGAGGTAAAGGTGTCGAGCCCTGACTACCCTGAAAGGAACAGGGAGAATGTGATGGAGGACTTCCTAAAGAGAATTGAGTGCTACAAAGTCACCTATCGACCCCTTGACCCAGACAACTATGACAAGTAAGGTTTAAGGCCATGGTTTGAAGGGCCTCAGGCAGGGGTCTCATTTGAGAAAAGAGCCTTTCTCCCTCTGTCCTCAAACTTTCTTCTGACCATCCAGACCTATAATGTTTACGTCATTCCAGAGAAACAAGGTATGGATTTGTGGCTTCTCTGTAGGTTGCATCTTACACTTGAACAGTGACGTGTTTTTTATCATCAGTTCTTCCTCTCTGTTCTCTAAAACAAGATTTCTCAGTCTCCGCATTGCTGACTAATTCTTTATTACAGCAGTAGGGGGCTGCCCTGTGCACTGTGGGATGTTTAGCAGCATCCCTGGCCTCCATCACTAGATACCAGTAATACTCCCAACCTTCAACAAGCCAAAATGTTTTCAGACATTGCCAGGTGTCCCTGGGGAGCAAAATCAAGTAGTTCTGATCTAGGGTGTTGTAGGACACCCCTCAGAGATGTGTCATCAGCTTTTGATCAACTTTTGAAGTTTATTGTGTGTATATATCTATTCTGTAACACACATGTATTAGTATATAAGATTACATGTATTACACACACAAGAGTAACATAATATAGAAATATGTTTACATAGAACATATATGCATGTACAGATATATATAATGTATATATGATGTTATATATATAAATATGATACAAATACATATCAGTAAAAATGTGTAACAAACATAAATATATATAAAATGTGTGTATGTATATATATATACACGTGTGTGTGTGTGTGTGTGTGTGTGTATACATATACATAAAGCATGTAAAGTCCTTAAGAACATGCCTGGCTCATCAGAAATGTCTGACTGAGTGCTAGCCATTATTACTGTGGTAGTGTCTACTAGCAATGTGCTATGCAATATGGGTTAACTTGATGTGCATGAGGTATAAGAGCCATAGTAAAAATTCCAGGCCTTTTGGAAAGATTCATGCACAATGTATTTTATCCGTTTTTTTTTTTTTTTCCAAAAACTAATGATGTACTGTATGTTGGCTATCTGAACATAAAGAAGAAAAAAAAAAGAGCCATAGTAAAATGTGAAGTCCATGTTGAAGAAAGATGTGTACACACAGAAACCTGGGGAATGTGGCCATACAGTTAACAGCTGTGTTTGAATAAGATATGGCCCCGCAGCCAAGCAGATGGCAAGATAAGTCTACGTAGCTCACTGTTCCATTGTGGTAGTGGTCTGCTTAATGTTTGAGTCTTTAAGTTCCTTCAAGTAGATTGTTAGTATTTGGAGGTGTTCCTTTAAATATAGAGTTTGAAATGTTAGTATTTGGAGGTGTTCCTTAATATAGAGTTTGAAATGTTAGTATTTGGAGGTGTTCCTTAATATAGAGTTTGAAAACCACTGTTCTAGAGATGGTGTAATAGTATATTCTATATAGAAGTCCTTTATAGAAAAACATTCTAGAACAGTGTGTATGTGTGTGTGTGTGTGTGTGTTTATAGATAGTATTTCTGATGGTAGGGTTTGGGTGGTTTTTATTTGCATCATTCTATCTTTTTTTGAAAATGTTTTTGGAATAAGTATCATTTTTTTTTAAATTTAAATTCAGTTAGCATTTATCATTTTTACAATGAGAAAAATTCTGATGAGGCAACCGCTGCAGAAGTACCTCCGAGAGAGGCTTGATTAGGTAAATGCAGGGGACATGGAGAAATCTCTAAGATTCTGCTGCCTGCTGCCCTCCCCGCGGGCCATGCCATCCCCTGGCCAGGTCTTGACCAGCTCAGATGGGGGTTGTGCTTCTCACTAAACTTCAGGGTTAGCAAAATTGTCAGGTCACCTAGTCTAACCCTTGAGGGAAAGCCTGGATTCTTCGTATCCTACTTATCTAAACTACATGGCACGGTACAGGCACTTGAAGAAATGATAGACTGGCCAGAAGTTCGGGACATCTTACTTCATCTTGGGTCTGAGGTGCAATCCGCCTCCTACCGGTTGTTGGTTCCTTAAAATGTGGGTTGGCTCTGACAGGAGACGAGGAAGAGCTGCCTCAAACCTGCAAGTAATTACGGGAATCCTTCCCTTCCCACTGGTATCCTCAGATTTTCATTCCCAGGGATTCTCTTTTCTCCTGCTCTGTCCCAGGGATCTTTCTTTCATCAAGGTGATAAATGTGGGCCAGCGATTTTTAGTGAACAGAGTCCAGGACTACATCCAGAGCAAGATAGTCTACTACCTCATGAATATCCACGTGCAGCCTCGCACCATTTACCTTTGCCGGCATGGAGAGAGCGAATTCAACCTCTTGGGGAGGATTGGGGGTGACTCTGGCCTCTCGTTGCGGGGAAAACAGGTGAGGCATTCAGCAGCAGGCTGGATTTCCCAGGTTTAGAGTTGGAGGAAGGGCATGGTGGAGGTCATCTCTCTTATCCCCTTACTTCTTCCTAAATCCCATTGGGGCTGAGGCTGTGGTTTCAGATAATCAAGCAAATGTGGAAGACCTCTTCTTGTCCACTGATTCTGGCTGTGTTGTAATGTGGTAACTTGGAACCACTTCTGTTAATTCAACTGTCAGATATTTAATGGGCATGACTTGTGTGCTGAGCACGGTACAGGATGCTCCAGTGGAAGTTCATTTCTTCTTGGGTTTATCATAACTGTGTAGCACCTTTTGGATTTTGACCATGGTCCTACACGTTGCCCTTTGTAGGCCAAGTTAGCAATTGTGTGTGTGTGTCTGTATGTGCGTGTGTGCGCATGTTTCTCTCCTTTAAAATTTTTATCTCCAACCCAAGTTTGCCCAGGCTCTAAGGAAGTTTCTGGAGGAACAGGAGATAGCAGACCTTAAAGTGTGGACGAGCCAGCTAAAGAGGACAATCCAGACTGCTGAATCCCTGGGTGTGACCTATGAGCAGTGGAAGATTCTGAATGAGATTGATGCTGTGAGTAGGAATTCTGATGGCTGCAAAGCCAGTAAGAGTCACTTATTCAGGCAGGAGCTCTCAGAAGTCACAATATGGTCAGTTTTATCTAGAAAACTAGAACTACCAGGTAGTAGTAGTAGGGGAAGAAGAGGGAACAATTGCACCCCAGTCAGGGCTTCCTGCCTATTTGAGCACCTGTGGCAATCACGGGCCTAGACCAGTCTGTGACCTAGCCCCTCTGGCATCTGGGGACAGCACCGCTCCATTTTGTTTCTTTGTATATTTTTCTGCTGGGGAAAAGAAATAACTAACAACTCCCTTCTTTAATTTCTGCTTAGATCACTTGGTCCTTTCCAAATTTTTTTCTTGGCTTTCTCTGTGCTTGAGCACAAAAGCAGACATTTTTCTTTTCTTCCTCTGTACCTTTTTATGCCTTCTGCCAGAATTCTCTGGTCCCTTCAGTTTCTCCTCCCCTGCTTCCTGTTCCCTTTATCCTGCTGACTTTTCTTGGACCTTTAACTTTTCTGAAGTAGTCGGAGCAAGTAGTCGGAGCAACCTGAGAAGCCACGTCTCCTGCGCAGTGGCCCTCCCCGTGCCAGGCACTGTGCTGGGACTGGGACACTAAGGATTCCTTAGTGTCGCCCCCCCTTGTTTGGGGGGGTGCCGCATGGGGCGGCCTTCCTCCTGCAGCCGATGTGGCTCCCTGCAGGGCGTGTGTGAGGAGATGACCTATGCGCAGATTGAGAAGCAGTACCCGGACGAGTTCGCACTTCGAGATCAAGAGAAATACTTGTATCGGTACCCTGGTGGGGAGGTGAGATTTCCCCTCACGTGGTGTGACTATCCAGCCCTCCGTTGGGGGTTTAACTTTAATTAGGGGGAAGGAGTGAATGGGATGTGGAAGGTCTAGAAAGGGTAGTCAAGGCATCATGTAGTTTTGTCCTCCAACTTTGGGTCATAGTGTGTTTAATTCAGCTTAGACCGTCAAACATCTCATTAAGATCTCCAGGGAAAAGGGTGACAGGATGTCTTGTGTGTTGATTCATTGTAGAATCAGCATCTTCTTTTTTACTTCTTTTTTTCATTCCACTCCCTCAGTCCCACCCCGACCCAAGCAGGTATAGGCCCCGAGTCAATATATGGGGTATGAATGATTTCCCTGTCATCTCGCATGTTTGAGGCTGTTCGCTGGCCCGAGGGGCTTTGTAGTCTAGAGCCCTGGGAGGCCCAGGTAACTAAAACCAACAGCAGAGGTCCAGGAAAGCCCTCGGAGCCTCACGTGCTGCCTGTTCATCTGTGGGAAGGAAAAAAGACCCAGGCTGAATTCACATTTCTTCTTTTTGACCTGTAGTTTTCTCAATCTAAATGTTGCTCTTGAAAGGTCTGAGGATTCTCAAGAGATCACAGGGCTGGGGGTAGTTAGCAGGCGACATGAAGTCGCTGAACCTCCAGCAGGAAAGCCAGCTGGGGAGGAAGGAGAAGTGGCCTCCTGACTCTGGAGCCAGCCACTGACTTGGCTGCTAGCCTGTGCCTGGCCTCCCACCAGTCTGCCTCACTTCCCCCGCAGTCGTACCAGGACCTGGTGCAGCGGCTGGAGCCCGTCATCATGGAGCTGGAGCGGCAGGGCAACGTCCTCGTGATCTCCCACCAGGCTGTCATGCGCTGCCTGCTGGCCTACTTCTTGGATAAGGGTGCAGGTGACATTTGGGGAAGGGCCAGGGGACACATTCATGGCGAGGGGGTTGGACTCAGGGTGGCGCCAGGATCCCAGGCAACAGAACCTGCCCCTCTTCCACTCAAACTGGAGTGCATTCTTCTGACAGCAGTGTGGGGCTCCCAGCAGCCACTGGGCCAGCTACTCGCTGAAGTTACTCCTCTGGTACCAAAGCCCCCATTGGAGTGGCCACTGCTGGAGCTCCTTAATCCTGCTTGGCTAGAGGGCCAGTGTCTAGCTGACCCTCCTGGCAGAATCAGAAAAGTGGTTTTGCACATTCCCGGCTTGTTATTTGGCTACAAGGTGGGTGGTGTCTTAAAAGCATCTTCATCCTTTGGATTCATCATAGGACAGTTTCTGGGTAAAGCCTGAAGGAACTTGTTGACTTTTCTGACCCTTCCCTTCCCTTCTCCTTTCCTTTCCCCTTCCCTTTCCCCTCCTCCTCCCCCTCCCCACCCCCTCCCCTCCCCTCCCCTCCTCTTCATCTATCTGAGCTGCTGGGCAGCCTGCAGATTGGCCTTTGGTACACCCATATAGGCCACAATCTTCCCTTCCACCGGGTCCTGCTCACTTCTGTTTTGCCTTCATGGAAGGTTCTAAAATGGACTGCTTTCCTTCCTTAGCCTCTCTGTAGATCGGGCAGCTTCTTTAGTGGCCGTCCCGATAATTGCCTGGGGCCTAGGGGAGGAATTGTACAACTCTAGGTCAGGGTGAAGAGAACTCATGAGCTCCTTAGATTCTCCCACTTACTTGACCTTAATCCATAGTACTAAGAGACTTCTCTCACCTGGTCTTTCTGTTTTCAGATGAGCTACCATACTTGAGGTGCCCCCTCCATACCATCTTCAAACTTACTCCTGTGGCCTACGGTAACTATGAGCTTAGCAGTGGGCAGGATGTGGGGATTGAAGAAAGTCAGGCTATTTGAATTTTCTCTGAAGTTTGTCTAGAAGTTCAACTTTATCACCCCTGTATACCAGGGAAATTCCATCAGTGCTTTCCATTTTTAAAAGGATGTATGGGGGTGCATGGGTGGCTCAGTTGGTTAAGTGTCTGCCTTTGGCTCAGGTCATGATCTCTGGGTCCTGGGATCGAGTCCCTCTCCCTCTGCCCCTCCCCTTGCTCATGCTCTGCATCTCTCTCTCTCTTTTTTTAATGCATGAATAAAATCTTTAAAAAAAGGATGTGTATATTTGGGAATATATACATTCTTTTATGATATGTTTCCCATACTGAATCTAAGGAATTTTTCTTGGAACTTTTTTCCTGAAGGCCTTTTCTCTTTCCTCTGTTTCCTCAGGATGTAAAGTGGAAACAATTAAACTCAATGTGGAGGCTGTGAACACTCACCGTGACAAGCCAACCGTAAGTATTCTCCCGCAGATGAACATGCAGGCTCCCTGCCACCTTGAGTCTTTGAACCTTTCACATCACGAGACTCGGGTTTTGTTTATATACAAAAGGGAAACACATCCAGAACTCATGTCCTATGTAACTCATATCCTAGTCTGCTTACTTCCAAAAGGAAGAAATGTTGGAATTACTACTTTTTTAAAATTAGTACCTCTTTCATGAGTCTTAACCTTGAAAGTTGGCTCCTGGAAATCCAGTTAAATATGGGAAGTGTTTGGCCGAAGTCATATACAGATTTTTCCCCCCCAGGGAGTGCTCCCTTGAGAGTAGGACCCAGAGGAGCCTATAAGGTGGGGTCAAGCGGTATAGGGTTTGTTCCTAGGTCTGTCCTGATAATCTGTGTGATCTTAAATAAGCCCCTTCCTTTCGTGGGCCCTCCTTCCTCCTTTGGAGTATGATGCTCAAGGAGCTTCTCCTTCTACAACCCTTTAGCTTCCTGGGACTAGGGCTAAGGCCATGGCCCATGTCTTATGAGAGACTCTATCTGCAGAGGAGCAGGACTGGAAGAAACAGTTGTGGTTACAGGCATTATTTAACCTTTATGAGTGAGCTTTTGGCTTGGCTTTCATTTGTGTGGTGTCCCTCCATTTCCAATTAGAACAACTTCCCCAAGAACCAAACCCCTGTAAGGATGAGAAGGAACAGCTTTACGCCTCTGTCCAGTTCGAATACAATAAGGCGTCCAAGAAATTACAGTGTTGGGAGCCGGCCCCTCAAGCCCCTCAGCCCTCTCCGTACCCTGGACACGCAAGAAGGGGCCGACCAGCCGAAGACCCAAGTCAGCATTCCGGTGGTGTAACCGTGTGTCCCTTCCAGGCTTGGCCTCCTGCCCTTGTCTCTAAGCACCAATGAGTCATTTAACTTCCAGACCCCACCCCCAACACCCCACCATGGACTTTAACACAGAATGTGAGCTAATGTGTTTCCAAACCAATCTTAGCTGTTCTCCAGTGTGAAACATCTCCCTGCCCAGGGGCAATTTGACCAGTGGGTGTTTTAGGACATGTCCTCGGTTGGGGTGGTCTGGAGGAGGAGGAAAAGGGCTACACTCCCCTGGGTTAAGCATAGCTGGGTCTGAGGTTAAGCCTGCCCCATAGCCTTGGTTCTTATCCTTGGTGTCTAAACTACTCATGTCCTTGTGTTGGTAAAGGAGGGGGTGGGGCGGAGGGGGAGACAGAAGCCCATTTTTCCTTCACCTTTGTCTCTTCAAGGTGTGCTTTACTCACAGTCCTTACTTGCTTGCTTTGTTCCCCCCTTGCTCACCTCCCCTTTGGATTCTCCAGTGTGATGCATGGCCTTGTCATCGTGTCTGTTGAGGAGGGAAGGGGTGGTTGGCGAGAGAGAAGTCTGGGCTCTGTTGATGCTCTCTGCAGGGGGCCTCAATGGATCCAGACTGGGGGAGCTTTTTTTTTACCCCTCTCCTTTCCTCTCAAGCCAGGTCCTGAAAGGGTCAGCCCAGGCTGCAGAACATCCACAGATGCTCTGGAGCCCACAAGTGGACATAGGGTGAGAGTTCGTGCCTCCTTTCATGAGAGCCAGTCCTAAGTCTTTGAGGCTCCAGGGGAGTTGGCTCTGAGTATGTGTGAAATATCTTGGTTGGTATTTTTCACTTCAAGAGCCAGGCATGGGTCTTTTTGGCGGCTGTGGAATGAGGTTTAGGAGAATAGGACGTTCTCTAGGTCTTGCAGGGCTCTTGTAGGGCAGTCATGTCTTTTTTCAGTGGCTCCCAGCTTTGCCAACCACAGCAACTTTCCTGCCAAGGCCAGTGACCTCTGGGGCTGTTTAGAAGGACAGAGTTAGATTAAAGAGTCACCGCTGATACTGGAATTGCTCAAGGCAGACAGACGGCAGCGAAGAGTTCACTAGAGCTTTTTATTTTCCTGTAATTTTCAACACACTCTCCTCTTTACGTTAAAATATTTTGCATGAGCAGTGTTTCCCCCCACGCCCCCAAATGTGGAAAGGCCTGGCCATGAATTTAATCTCCCTCACCGGTGTATTCTTTTATCTCATCTTGGTTTCCAGGAGTCTTTGGGACCTTGAGGGGTCTAGCTCTTAATTATCTGGAATTGCCTATTCACTTTTGTCATTTTGTTTTCTCTAGGGTTAAACAGGAAACGTTTAGAACAGGGGATTCTTAGCTCCTTGGTGGCCCATCCAATTCGGTATATAAAACATGAATATATGTGCAGTTTTCTGAGAGAGAATTCGGATTTCTCATGAGATTTTTAAAAGTGATGGAATACATCCACACCTTAAAGTTAATCAATTGTCTTTTAGAGGAAACCAGTGAGAGCAAGTGACGTATTTGCCAAGGGTCTTTTTCTTTGGTAATAGAAGACCCTTTTGTCATGGTTCTCATCTAGGAGCATTCATTACAATCCTCTTTAGAATTTTTGAAATACATACATGCCCCAGTCCACATTAGGCTTAATACTAACTCAGAATCTCTGGGGTTGGGGTCTGGGCATGTATGCGTTGGCAATAACTTCCCTGAAGATTCTGATTCATACTCAGGGTTAGAGCTCCATTTCAGTTGTGGGGAGAAATACTGGAGTAGTTCTTCGGACAGAGCGTCAACCTAAGAATTCTGAATTCTTTTTGGCTCTGAAAGGACGATTCTCTGGAGTTAGACGTGTGAGCAGATCACAGTATTACACTAAGTAATACACTAAGTATCACACTAAGTGACCCCCTTGAAGGCAGGCTGCTGTGTTTTAGAGCGTTATTCTGGGTTCTAGTCCCATCTTTAACCCTTTACACTGCAAGGTGTTGTGGAACAAAGCACTGTGGAATAAATGTCCTCGGGGAATAGCTGGGAATTTTCAGCACTCTGGATAAAGGCACAGAGATAAAACCTGTAGGATGATAAAGGTTATCATCATAGGCAGCTGCCTTGTGACCTTGAGTCCTTTATTCTTGCATCTGAGTAGAGCAGGACATCACAGTGTTTCCAAAGTCTGCTTGCCTAGCTTCTGCTCCTCAGTGTGTCTAACCTGCTATTTCTGTTTTGCCATTACATTCTGGGTACATGGTGTCTTTGCAGGGCTTTGGGCTGGGGCGGGGGGGCTGATGGTGATAGGGTGCACAGAAGTGGAAGAAAAGGTCCTTGCCCTGAAGAAGGTTATTTTAGAGACAGGGTATATAGTTTATAATAAATGAACATTTGCAAAAGAGCAACACATTGCGTCTGTAAGTGTGGACACTGAAGGGGAGTTCAGATCCCTTCTGACTTTTCTCTTGTCCTGTGAGACTGAAGGGGGGTAGCAGGTGAGAGTCCTCCCCCTCCAGGTGAGAATGAGATGTGGTCTAGGTGGTGTGGGGGGCATTTTACAAGGTGGCTTCATCTAACCTTACTTGGCCGGCAGCATCCTTAGCCCAAATGATTATTCATTCAGTTTTTTTTTTTTCCTGCCGTGCAATAAGAATAATTCAGAGCTAATGAATGACAAGCAGGAGCATTTTGATCCAAAGACTTTGGATTTGGGTTGTGCATACTCTTAGTGAGAGGATGATTCTCTAACACACGAGCATTGTGTTACCCTGTTATAAACCCCAGCATGAGCCACAGGTCACCAGGATGTTCACTGTGGCCCTCAGCCTGCTCCTTATTTCTCCACTCTCCCCCATGCTAGTTTGCTTCCCCCAAAAGAGGAGCCTGAGGTGGTCTTTTTAGTCTCAGGTGGGATACAAGAAATTAGAACTTCACGGTAGCAAGGCTTTCGGCATCCTTCAGTTTTTAGAGCAAGATCCCTCCAGAGAAGTTTCTGCAGGAAGAAGCCAGGAGAATACAGAGTGGCATAGAGCTCTTACTCCAAATTTTAGAGGAGTTCCACTTCCTATCTTTTCTATCCTCCTCTTCCTTTCTTACTGGAATGTGTACTGGTAGTATCTGCACATTGCTATAGTTATGTCTAGGTCATAGATTCTACAAAGAAAGGATGGATTCTGGAGCACCTTTTGCTGAGGCTTTTGGTTTCATTGTGGGAGAAATAGGTGAAGGCTTTAGCATTTAATCTATTAAATTATTTAATCTAGTAAATGGAGAAAGGAAAATCCCTGTATATTTCATTTTCATTTTCTTGCTTGGAAGCTGAATGATGAATTTTGTAACAGACTTGAAAGAGGAATCCAAAGCAGATTTAGAGAACTAGCTTCTCTTGTCTCATAATCCTCAAATTAGAATTTAGTTCTTCTTAATCTGTATTGTCTTTGGTTTTTGTTTTGATAAGGGGATTGTTTTACATTCAGCTGCAAAGTAGAATTAGAAAATCTTAAAAACATGTGTAGGGGGTCTGCCCTATCTTATTGTCTCAGGGTTTTGTTTGTTTGTTTCTCCCCCAAGAAGTTAGAATTAGGAATACAACGTGTCTGTATTCCCAGGCTGAATGGAGGAGTGTTTCCTGTGAAGTTCTGGGTGTTCCTTTTTGCAGTCCACAAATGGATCTGCAGAGGCACCAGCATTCTCAAGAAATATGATATAACTTTGGAAATAAATCCCATCTTCCGGTTTTTCTGTGAGTAGGAGGTGTGGGTTCTAGAGAAACTCACTGGTGCTTGGGGTAGCCAAAGGACAGGGGGAAGAATGTCTAATGATTGAGAGAACTATATCTGGGTTATACAGTCTTAACGGACATTCCATTGTTTTTGCCCAGTTCAGAAGCCATGTTGTGTTTGTTTTCAAGAAATTTGGTCAATTTACCCAGGTTTTCTAGGATGTATTTTGACTTGGTCATGTTTTAAAATATTTCAATTTAAAAAATATCTAACAATTGAGCAGGTTGTGACATTGGCAGGATGGATCTCTGACTTCCCAGAGAGGTGATACAGTCATCAGAAGTAAGTCCAGGAATTTAATTTGGATGCATAGTGTCCAGAAGACTGTATCTAGTAGTATCCATGTACTTACTGACTGGCAGACCCTGGTAGAATCTGTATGCTGACTGACTGACTGACTGACTGACAGACTCCAGTAGGGTTTTTTAATCTGACCGTCTGTTTTCTAATTGTACAAGTTAGTAGTATATGCATATTACTGTGATTTTGTGTCCGTTGCATGTGTCCTACAAAGAAAGGAAGTAAACACTTTACCTTTTTTTTCAGGGGGAAGTTCTGTACCTATGATTTTTAATAGACATTGCTTTTAGAGTAGCAGTCAAAAATCTCATCATTTTGTAGAAAACGAAGGTTGAACATCACTTTTGTGTGATATTTTGTGAACTCAGTGAAGGAAGTACCTCCTCAAAGCCTGTAATTGTTACCTCTACCTGCGTGAATTCCACCCACTCTCCCACTTCTAGGCAGGACTTCCCTTTTACCGTCTGCTTCTGAACCTTCTGTGTCCTCAGCTTCCCTGTCACAGGATGTAGCAGCGGATAATGCTGTTGTTGCATTTGACTCTTATTCAAATCTAATAAATAAAAATGCAAAGGAAGTTTTGCATTTAAAAATTGATCTTAAGAGTTGGCAAAGGTGTTCTTTCCAGTCAGTCTTTCACTGGGGATCTAGGTAGGACCAGTCTTTACCAACTCAATGTTTTTGTATCTGAACTGCTTGTGTACATTTTTTTAATTGTGTTTAAATAACAAAATCCGCTCGTTCTGATATGGTGATGGTTTTACTGTGGCAAAAGCAAAGGACTGATCACCAGCTGTGCCCCTGGAGGGGGGTGGAAATTGGTGAAGGGAATGAACTGAATTGGGAACTCATGCATAGAGTTATCCTGCGGATTTCCTAGGCACAGCTCTGGTGAAAAAGGAATGTGAGTCCTTACCAGCATTCTGACTTAATCTGGTGACATTGGTATCAAAATATGCCACTCAGATCCACATAAGGTGTGTATAACTATATTTGAAATGTGCTTTTGTGTGTGTGTGTGTGTGTGTGTGTTTGTAGAATGGGTAAATAAAATTGTTGAGTAACTTGAACCTATGAGAAGGCTTCTGGGTTTTTTGTTTTATATTTTGGGTTGTGTTCTCCACCCACTCCCCCACCTTTGAAACTGTCTCCTGGTGTTCCATGATTGAGCCTCAGAGGAGCCAAAGCCAGTTGGCGGTGTGACTGGAGTCCTTGGTGTGGGCATGGCTCTCTTCCACCACCTTCTGGGAGAGATGGGAAGGACGTTTTGGAAGGCACGTGAACTTCCGTAGAAGTTGTGTGGACTTGTTGGCGCCTCTACAAGAATTAAGAAAACGTACCTTTGCCCGTACTGTACTATGACTCCCCTTAGCCACATGTAACTCATTATTGTAAAGAAAAAAATGCGGAGATTTCCTAGAATTTAGTGGGCTGTTCTTCTAAAACATGACCTGCCTTTTTGTAAAGAGCTTACAGTCAATGGAATGAAATGGCATTTGACTTCTGGGACAGGAAGTAAGGTGGAACTGTGTCACTGCCTCTCTCTTCAGTTCTTTGTCAGCCTCGAAGAGCTGCAGGAGCTCATTAGACATGCACTCTGGGGCCTACTGAGTCAGAATCTTGGACTTAATAGCATTACCAAGTGATTCAGATGCACATTTAATACTTGAGAAACACTGCTCTAGGGGGAAGAATTCCTCACAAAACATTCAATCCCAGTTTATGGGAAGAAGCTGATTTCTGCTCTGACGGATTGCGGAACGGCCTGGGATAGCTACAACTGTAGAGACCCTCCTCAGAAGCCATGTAGCCGTGACAGCAATGCCGTTTTGTCAGCATGGTCTTTTGGTTGATAGTGGCCTGTGTGCTCTCCTTTTACCACAGGATTTCCTGCAGCTTCTACCTCCTATCTTGGGTATATAGCTTATAGTCTAGGTCTGGAAGAAGTGCCTGGTCCAACATGGTTACAAAGGTCGGTTTCTCAGGGAAAGAAGCCCATGACTATACTGTTGGGAGTTTGCTAAAGGGTAAAAGGGTGTGTACCAGCACAACAGAGGGTCCATGCATGTGTGCGGAGGTGGGGATGTGGGCGGTGGGGGATCAGTGGGGGGGGGGAGGGGTTCTGCATTACTTTTATTTGCCTTTTGGCCATGGTCTAATCGCTTTGTCTCTCTTCCTCTCTGGCTCATAGGCAGAGACCGGGTTGGCTGTGCACAGGCACTCTTCTTCAGCATCCCTCACATCGCTTTGCTGATGATGTGAAGGCCGAGGCCAGACCTCTCCAAGATCTACTACAAAGCTTGGGATGGCAGCTCCACAGGGGCTCCCATCAGGAAGTTAAGCTGGGATTGGACATTTGGGGCCACCAAAATGAGGCCTGGACAAACATTACATTTCTTCCTGTCATACCTAATGGGGATATCTTACACGGGATAACTTAACTTCCCTCTGCCTCAAAACATCTCACAGCCTGACCTGATCAGTGTGTATTATCTCTTTGCTGGGTGTGACCCCAGTTGGCCAGTCTTGTTCCGTTTCAGCATTTAACTTCCTACCTGCGATTGTATCCCTGGCGACCTGTTCTTTTCTGAAATGCAAATGCACCTCTTCAGATTTGTTTCCAAGTGAGAGGGCTGCACTGCAGCAAGCCTGTTCAGTGCTGTCAGAGCTGGTCTCTTCGTCCATTCCAGCCGAGCAGGCTAGAGGACAATACACAGATGTTAGCCATCCCTTTTTGTCACGTTGGAAACAAGAGACAAATTCACCAGGTGAGTAGAGGGTATCTGAGAAAGTCAGTCCCTGAAATGTCTCTTCTGCGGCGATGGAAGAGCAGTGTCAGCCACCTTTTCATGTAGAGAAGTTTTTCCTTGTTCAGGCCCTGTAAGGGCAGGATCTGACTGCAGAACTCCCCAGAATGGGTCCCCGTCTTCAAAGTACCCACTATATTTCCTACCTGATGCTGTGTCCCCTCACAGTGGCAGAGGGATATGTCATTCTCCAGTGGTTGAGAATGAGGGCTGGAGAGAAAAGTAGGGCACCATTGACATGACCTGGAGAAGTAGAGGGTTCCTTGGGAATCAACTCTACCAGGGAGTTCTTTCTTCAGACCAGGTGCAGGGGCACATGATTTTCTGTGGGGTTTATCACTATGATGTGGTCTCTACGAAAGCTGTGGCTGTGCCTTCGAGAGCAGCTGGTCTTCTGATGCCTGCCTCTTAGCTAATTGTCACTAGTAGGGTCTCCTGGTCTCTTATGTATAGAACACTGGGGGGGAGGGCAAGGGAGACATGAGTCCTTGAGGGGTGTGTCATTTGGCTTCCTGTAAAGATAAGCCAGGTAATTCTCTAGATCAATGTGATTCTCTGTCAGTGTGATTTTAATGTCACAACTCCAAAGGAGGGTATGGAAGCTCCAAAGGATAAATATCTTACAAGCAATTTTTTTTTTTTTAAGGATAGTAAGTTTTTTAGCTTTTTAAATAATTTTTCCCTTTCATGCAGATACCCACTTGCTGGGCGAAAGGGTACGTAACAAAAGTAATGAAATGCAGCTTTTCCCAAATGGTTCTTTTATACTGTGGATGATACGGGGCTCCGTTACCTAAGATGTGATGAGCTGGGCTGCGGGCAGTTCAGCATCCGGCAACCAGGAGCTTATTTTATACGCACAAAGCTGCCTTCAGAAAGGCTCCTGACTCTGCTCTGTAGCAGGGGATTTTCATCTGGCCATTTGTAGCATGTGGTACTGTCATCATTTTGTTCTTGTGTTGCAGGTTTCTTTCTGCATCTAAACGCAGTGTCTTGATGATCAGATAATGTTTTTATTTAGTTATTTATTCATCCATATGAGATATTTTTAAGTCCCATATTAGTGTTTGCATGTGTTTGATCAGAATGTAAGATAATTGGTGTTGTCTGTTTTTTGGTTGAAATTTAGGTAGTTTGAGATTTTAAGTGTGGTGTCCATAGTATTACCTTAAATTAAATTTCCAAGGTCTAGGTATCTGTCTTCTGTAAAAGGATGATAACTATGTTAAGGCACAATGGATTTCTTTTGAGTACTTTTTTTTTCTCATTGATTTTTATTATAAGTATCAACCAAGAGGTGCATTTCTCTGGAGAGAAGTTTATCTCCTGGATAAATAAAATCATGCTAAAATATGTCAGTAATATGTATTGCTTTGTAATAAGAAATATAATAAAAGTTATTTTTAATTTAAACATGTAAGTAATTTTTGAAATCACCACAAAATAGAATAACATTTGGTGCATTATACATACCCAAAATGTTAATAATATTGTGCAAAATGTCTTTGAAACTAGCTTCTTGAAAATGATTCTCAAGTTCTTAGATCATATATATATTTCTAGCTAGTGCTTGAATTGGTGACTCCTGCCTTTATCAAGTTACATTAGCATTTCCAAATGATATCAGTGGGATCATTATTGCCATATATTATTGACATTCTGGAGCTTTATTAATTTATTTAACAAATATTTAATGATCATCTATTGGTTTTCATGCAGTGAGTAAAACCAAGTCCCGGTCCCCTGTCCTTGGAAAGATCTCCAAGCACTTCTGCAGGTGTTACATTACCCGGCCATCAAACCATCGTTTGTAGAGGGAAAAGCACATCTGGGATCATTCTTATTTCACAAATAGGTGAATGAACACCCTTATTAAGTGACTTACCTCAGAACAAGGTAAATGGTAAGATGTGTAACAGTGAGGGCCCAACAAACATATAACATGCTGTTTTTAAATGTAGCTGGAAACTTCATAAAGATACCAGAAGTAGAATATGACTCCTCAGAGAATGCTCCAGTGTTGGGTGATGGTCATTATTTGCCTTATTTCTGTAGCCTTAATTATTCCCTCATGTGTTCAGCCTCTCCAGGGTCTTCTCTGGGGACTGTCTGTGAGGAGGCCAGCCTCATTAGCTTGCCCTGATCGGTGACAAGCCCACTGGCACTTCCCATGGCAGTCCAGCATTCACCCATCACCATGCCTCATGGTCTTGAAGTATTCCCACCATCCAACCTACATTCATTGTCTTGAACTCATCTGAGGATTTAACAAAAGCTGAGGCCCCTCTCCCCCACAAAAGGTAGATACACCTCACTTTCACGTTCAGTGGAGCGGGCGTCATGACCGCAGGGTAGCAAAGCGGGAGCTAGATGATAATGTATACACACCCCATTTCCCTTTCTTTTCTTTGACATTTAAAAAAAAAAATCCATCCATTTGATACTAACTTTTTTAAGCAGGGGGAAGAATATGTGGGATTCGGAAATGCTTACTTTTTAAAACCGGACACTGTAGAATATTTAGGAATTTGAATGGATTATCACAAGATAGCATCACTAACCTCTGGGGCAGCCAGGGCCGGGGGCGGGGGGGGTGATATTTTATTTTTCTTAACCTCAGGGTGCCAAGTGCATTTTTTGTTCTCATTAAGCCGGTGCCACACCGTCCCAGTCTCCACAGGTGGAACACCTCACTTCCGAGTGCCCTTCTGAATTCCCAAGGGCAACTCGATACCCTCTTGGTGGTATGCTGTACCTTCCCTGCGAAAACTCGGTCAGATTTGAGAGATGAGCTTCTCCTCGCAATTAAATGAAATAATTTCACAAGCATAGGAACCCTTGCGAAGCAGCGCCGAAGCAGCGTTCCAGAACTAATAGGGCCTCACCTCTGAACAGGTAGTGCCATCATCGAGCATCCAGCCTACTTTCAGAGAACAGCTTCTTAAGCCACTTGGATTTTCTTCCTCAGTGATCTTCTTACCTTATTTTACATTCCATTTTCATTTGTCAGAGCGTCTCCTCTTTTGTCCGTCACCTTTTCAGAATTTATGGATGGAAAGGGAAACAGTCTCGGGCACAATTTAATAAAGTCTATTAACCATTCTTTCCCAAATTTAAATTCCTGGGTTGTTTTACTCAAACCCTGGTAGAGCCTTATTTATTTATTTATTTTTGCATTGATCAGTGTTTCAGATTAGAAGGTGAAGGTGCCAGCAAACACAGAATAATAGCACCTTTTATGTGACAGAAGGTTACTCTCCCCCACAATGAGGTGTGGAGATAAGCAGCCTAGGGCTGGAATGGAGCTTTCTCAGTCATCCAAGACCTTCTGTCTTACAGTCCTTCTATCCTTCTATCGTGTTCACTTATCATCCTCAAAATGTGTTGGAATCTACCCCCTAGTACAATGTAGCTATTCGAGCTACAGGAATCCTGTCTGCATTTCAGTCAGCTGGAAGGAGCACAAAGGCCACGCTAACTTCTTGCCACAGTGCATGTCTGTCTTGACTCACAATCAAAGCTCAGACTACAATGTTTCATGAACAATTAGAGCTTTAAAAAATTTCTGTTAGTTTTAATCTCATGTAATCTGCATAAAGGCTACTTTTCTGGCCCAGGTTTTTCTTGGTGAGGCATTCAAGAAACATCAACTCAATGCATAAAAAAAAAAAATCGTTGGAAAAGCATTTTAAATCTTTTTGGAATTATCTTGACAAAGACCAAAGGGGATCTAATCATAACCTACTAGAGAACTTAAAGTCATCTTTTTCCAATTCTCTTAAAACCACACACACACACACACACACACACACTGCAGTTTAACTCCCCACACCTCTACCGCTAGCCTAGGCCCTGCTGACTTCCCTGCTCACTTCCTTATCTCTTCACCAATTGCTTCTGCGCATTCTTTTGTTGAGCAAGCGAACCCGTCAGTACAATTGCACTTGAGAACTGTTACCTCAATTCTCCAGAAAACAATCTGGATTAGACCAAATTGCCCTTAATGTCCAAAGGTCTAGAAGGGTGTGTGAATTCTCATTTATTAATTTTGCTAAGCTTGGACACTCGTAATAAAACGTATAATCCTAAAATCCCTTATATGTAATCCTCAAATCCAAAAAGCTTTGAAAACAGTTTTCTTCCAATTTATTTGACAGGAAAATCTGACTTAAACTTTGTGAGGATATTTATAGTCTCTATATATCTCACTTAGTGTAAATACTTTTACATTTCATAGAGAAATATTACTAAAGCAATATTATAAATAATATGGTATGCTTTCTAAAACCCTAATCTGAATCTAAAATAAACCATTCAGATGAAGGATTATTTCCAATTATTTCTTGTAATAATGCTCTATTTTATTAGGAATTTAGGAATTTCTCATTTAGGAATAAACAAATTCCTAATTTTAAGAGTAAGCAAAATTTTCTTACACTATTTTTAAAATAATTTGTTGTACAAATATATACATTAGATGCTGGGGAACTTGTATGCCTCAAGAAGTAGAATATGTGGTGTGTTAAGCAAAATTACTCCAAACCTGACAAAAGAGACAAAAAAATCACTGGCGGAATTTTTCAATGGGTTCCTGAGTATTGCTTTGTAGACCGTCTCTGGGATTATTGATTTCATAGGCGTGTGTAATTTTGATCAATTTTCCATTAACTAGTCTTTTTATAACTCTGTAAGACTAGAGGTTAATGGTAGAAAATGGATAGGAATGCAAATAATTCTTTTCTGAAAACAATGCAAACATTCCTGATAACAAGGCAAATGAATTTTGTCCAGTAGAGGTTCAATGAATTTCCATCAGTTAGAAAAGCTCATTCCAAATATTAAAGTTTGTTGCCATGTGTGATATTAACCAGTTTCACATCAATTAGAAAAGTCACTTATGGGGGTGCCTGGGTGGCTCAGTCATGGTCCCAGGGAAAGGAAATCTGCCTTTGGCTCAGGTCATGGTCCCAGGGTCCTGGGATTGGATCCCCGTCAGGCTCCCTGCTCGGTGGAAGCCTGCTTCTCCCTCTCCCACTCCCCCTGCTTGTGTTCCCTCTCTCGCTATCTCTCTCCGTCAAATAAATAAAATCTTAAAAAAAAAAAAGCCACTTCTGAAGGACTTTGACTTGAATACATACATACCTGTTCCTCAAATTCTTTGAATTAGTTGTAGCAACTTAATATTTCTCTCATTAATGGATTGAATAAAATCTTTGACATGTATTCATTGTATATTTATATGAGCATCATGTTACTCACTCTTTCGAGAACCATACTTTAAAAGGTGCTTGCAGGGGCGCCTGGGTGGCTCAGTCAGTTAAGCAGCTGCCTTTGGCTCAGGTCATGATCCCAGGGTCCTGGGATCAAGCTCCTCATTGGGCTTTTTGCTCAGCAGGGAGCCTGCTTCTCCTTCTACCTGCCACTCTGCCTTGCTTGTGCTCTCTCTTTCCCTCTCTCTCTCTCTGACAAATAAATAAAAATCATTAAAAAAATAAAAGGTGCTTGCACTATAGGAACTCACATATTTGTTGAGTGAGGATAAGCTATGGAAAAACCATAAAGGCAGTATACAATAAATGATAAATTATCAATATGGATTCAAGGGGCTGTGGTAGAGTTTCTGTATGACTATATTCTTGTTATTTGTCTTGCATTGCTCTTATTTACCTAGCAGACAATTCTGCATTTTATGGCGTGCCTGAGAAGGAAATACACACGGGGCATGATCCTTGTCCTTGAGTTGTTAACAGTCTCCTGTGGGAAAAAGACATGGACAAATCATCATAAAGTAATGATACTGGACAGAGAAGAGAAAAACAGTTAAGACCTTACTGTGTCCTTATGCTTTATATTTATTATGATGCTTTATATTATTTTATTAAAACCTAAAATTTTGGAGGGACTTTACCCCCAATTTTATCATTGGAGCGGGGACAACCAACTAATTGTTGTAATAGTCATGAAGGAGAGGGAGGGAGCCCCAAAGCAATTTCACATGTTTTAATTCCTGAGACCAAAGCTTTTCCCTCATCTCCCTCAGTTCATTTGGTTGACTCTGGACTCAGGCTAAATCCTGACCCCCAAAGATCCACAGAATGGGAACCCTGACGGCAGGCCTGGCAAATGCAGACAAGGTGTTGCTGTAGGACTTTGGAGTTTTTCTCAGGTTTGGACATTATCAGGATCAGCTCCTTGCTGGGAAGCTATAGATCTAGAAGGTCAGAGACAAGGTGAGGTTAGTTTACTTCCTTGAGCTTTTCCAGTTTTCAATGTTGGGTACTGCCAGGACACCTGCTATGTGGGAGACAGGGATGAGGTGGTGCTCAGGGCTGGGTTTCAGTTGGGAAAGCACCAGAGATTGGTCCGCCCGCCCCAACCTGCAAAGCTGGAGGATGTTGCAGAAGCTGGACTGTAAACACTAGCAAATATTGACAGAAGTGAGGGTCATGGCTAAACCCTCTGGTCCAAGTCTTTTGTAGCAGGATAAGCCTGCAATTCAAAGGAACTGGTCAACTGGATTTGCATAACGGAACCCTAGTGATTTCTAAAACTGAGTTTTAAAACTGGCAGCTGGTCAGCCTCTCCCCCGCTGCGTGTTTTTGCAGAATCCCTCCCTGTACTAATTTCCTCATAGCTGTTCATATTTCCTGCTGTAGGATTTTTTTTTTTCTTTTTTAATTCTTCCCAGGAAGAGAAATCAGGACAACCTCTTCTCTAGGAGGGAAGTGGTTGGTGTCCTAAGTGGTGTGAGAAGATCTATTTTGATCCAAACCAGGTGTTGTCTGGTTTTGGTTCATTCCAGCCTGGGTCAAGCAACTGATCACAAGATGGTTTTTCCGTTTGTGTGCTATCTTGTGGTTGTGTGGCTGATTTCTGCCTCAGACGGTGCGTATGCTTAAGATTGGATTATAGGGTACTTGATATTGGTCTATGGGTTATGAGGCATTCTGTCTAGGGTTTTAATGAAATTTAAATTAATGAAATTTAAATTAATGAAATGTATTTCATTTATTGAAAAATCTCAAATTACTCGGCCTAATGCTCTGTACTCAGTAGGAGCTTAGTAAATATATATATTTTTTTAATTTCATTTATTTGACAAGGAGTGGGAGAGAGAGCAAGAGAGGGAGAGAGAGAGAGCACGAGCAGGGGGGAACGGCAGAGGGAGAGGGAAAGCAGGCTCCCCCCTGAGCAGGGAGCCTAATGCAGGGCTCAATCCCAGGACCCCGGGATCATGACCTGAAGGCAGAGGCTTAACTGGCTGAGCTAACCAGGTGCCACAGGGGCTTAGTAAATATTTAATGATGATTCTGCTCTATGACGTGGGTGGTTAACTGTTTATTTTCCTTTTCTGTTCTGGGAGCAAAAAGTACCAATTTCAAAATCTTGAGAAGTCTTATTTGTTATACACTCCAGGAATGCTCTTTGGAAAGGGGATTATTTCTTTAGGGGTAAATAACTTATGGCTGAATTTGAGTGAGTCCAGTTATCCTTTTGAAAACAAAACTTTGGGAATTATTGGGAAGGGAGGGGAGTGGATGGACATAGACATGGAGGAGAACAAGGAATCAGAATCCATAATCCAGTAAAAAGACACTTGGATGGCGGTCTAACAGGGCTTCCTCACAGCACATGATATGTCAAGTGACTCTGTTATCTTTCTCCTTCCAATAGAGAGCTGTCCAGAAGTTTCCGCAGTGGAAAATGGCATAATTGTTATAGAGGAGGTAGAAGGACAAATTCTGGGGACTTACGTTTGTATCAAGGGCTACCACCTGGTAGGAGAGAAAACCTTTTTTTGCAATGCCTCTACGGAGTGGAATGCTCCTGCTCCCACATGTCGACGTAAGTTTGATCTTCCTGTTTCTTTGTATATCTTCTTATCCGACTTGATTCTTTCACATCCTACTTCCAGCAGGCCATGTCCAAACTATAAGAAAAAAATTCTCGGGGCGCCTGGGTGGCTCAATTGGTTAAGCATCTGCCTTCAGTTCAGCTCATGATCCCAGGGTCCTGGAATCGAGCCCCGCATCGGGCTCCCTGCTCAAGGGAAGCCTGCTTCTCCCTCTCCTTCTCCCTCTGCTACTCCCTCTGCTTGTGCTTGCTTGCTCTCTGTCTCTCTCTCTCTGTCAAAAAAAAAGAAAGAAAGAAAAATATTTCTCAATTTCTAGGAATTCATTTTTAAAGCACTCTAGGATGGAACTTCTCTTAGAAGCTACATGATCAGCTCTTGCTCAGTACTGATTACATTAAATAATTAAGTGAACACAATCAACCTACAGGAAGAAAAGGATTTCTTCCATATATTAAAACTACCTTTTGGGGGGCTATAATTTGTTTAATATCATACTCCTTTAAAATTTTTATGTTTTAAAAAATTTTAAACATATACAAAAGACGGAAGAGTAAAATCAACTCAACAATTATCCACATATAACTAATCTTTTATCTTCTATAATTCTGTTTTGCATTATTATTTTGAAGTAAATATGTCATATTCTATTTCATCCATTATATAACTTTCAAACTGGGAAAAATTTATGTTCTCAATTTACAAAGGTGATAATTGAGATCCAAGTGATTTGCTCAAGTTCACAAAACTCATTTGTGGTGTCTGTAGAGACAGAGAGTCACTAGTCAATATCCTCATTATTATTACTATTTTTAGGACTAACTGGGTTTGTTCTCCACACCAATATGTTTATCTTTTGTTTATATGACCAAATTCAACTCTCTCTGCATTCTCTCCTGTTTTTTTCACCTGGGAAAAGCAAAATGAAACAAAGTAAAACATGATGAGTGGTGTGTACATTTCACTGGGTGAGAAGGAAGGGAACCCTTGCCTCAAACATAGGCTGAAGAGTTTTCAGCAGTGCTGAATAGGAGGATGAACACACTGTTGATCATTTCCAGTTCTAGGCTTAATTACTTTTAGTAAGTTCAAGTGCCAGCTGTCACCCTTGTGCATGACCAAGACCTTTCCTGGCCACTCTCAGACCAACCTACTCTCTTCGCATCCAGCATCGATACAGTTTGGTACTAGGTACCAGTGCAGTTTGTAGTCCCTATTAAAAAGCACTGTTTTAGAGGGGCGGAGCAAGATGGCGGAGGAGTAGGAGACCTGGATTTCGGCTGATCCCAGGAATTCAGCTGGATAGGGATCAAACCATTCTGAACACCTACAAACTCAATAGGAGATCGAATAAAAGAATAGCAACAACTCTGAACAGAAAAGCGACCACTTTCTGGAAGGTAGGACGTGCGGAGAAGTGAATCCGAGGCGATATTCGGGAGGATAGACAGCGGGGGAGGGGGCCTCCGTCGGCCGCTTCTGGCAAGTGATAGAGCCGCGAAGCACAAAATCGGAACGTTTAGAAGTCGGCTCCGCCGAGGGATGTCACTCTGGTGGCTAAGCGGGGGGTGGAACCCTCTGGGACAGTGTGGTCTCAGGACCCACGGGGTCACAGAAAGACCAGGGGTGCCTGAGTGCATCAGAACTCCCAGGTATCGGAGCGGGGAAGCCAACTGCAGAGACGGAGCCGAGGTGTGGGCTCTCAGCTCGGGGTTGCCATAAACCGTGATCCACGGCACAGTCGGGCTACTGCTCCTCCAGCAGGGACCCAACAAGCGGCAGATCTGGGGAGACTCCCCTTCCTCCCCTGGGGAGGAGCGGCGGGGGAGTGCACCGCGGGGATCTGCTGGGTTTGGAGACTCCACATGAGGTCGTGCGCCAGAGATAGAAACGCTCGGTCTCAGGCCAGGTGAGCACAGAGTGCGGCCGGAGAGCGGGGAGACGGGAATGACTGACTGCTTTTCTCTGGGGGCTCACTGAGGAGCGGCCCCGAGTTCTCAGCTCCTCTGGGGCGGAGATTGGGAGCCTGCCATTTTCACTCTTGTCCCCCAAAGCTGTATGGAAAGCTTGCAGGGAACAAAAGCTCCCGAGAGCAAACCCGAGCAGATTACTTAGCCAGGGCCAGGCAAGGGCAGGGCAATTCCACCTCCGGCAAAGACATTTGGGAACCACGGCAACAGGCCCCTCCCCCAGAAGATCAGCAAGAACAGCCAGCCAAGACCAAGTTTACCGATCAATGAGAACAGCAGAACTGCAGCGCTAGGGGAATAATGCACATAGAATTTATGGCTTTTTTACCATGATTCTTTAGTCTTTCAAAGTTAATTTTTTTTAACTGTCTTTTTTTTTTTTGAATTTTTCTTTTTCCCTTTTTCAACCAACATCTTATCAATCCCTTTTTTAAAAAAAAATTTTATTTTTCATTTTTAGAGTCATATTCTATCCCTTCATAGTAGTTACCCTTATTTTTGGCATATATATATATATATAGGTTGTTCTCTCTTTAAAATTTTGAGATACAGTTTCTTCTAACAGGTCAAAATATACCCTAAATCTCTAGTGTATGGCTTTGTTCTACTCTCCTTTCTGATCACATTCTCTCCTTTTTTTTTCTTTTTTTTTTAAATCCTCTTCTTTCTTTTTTCAAAGAACTCCTTATCAATTCCTTTTATAAAATTTTTTATAATTTTAATCTTTACAGTCATATTCCATCCCTTCATCATATCAATGCTTATTTTTGTACACATATAAGTTTTTCTTTCTTTAAAATTTTGGGAGGCACTTTCCTCTAACAGACCAAAATACACCCAAAATCTAGTGTATGGCACTGATCTATGCACCAGCCTGATCATATTTGATCATATTCTGGGGTTTTTTTGTTTTGTTTTGTTCTGTTTTTGTTTGTTTTTATCTTTTTCTTTTTCTTTTTTCTTTCTTTCCCTGTCTTTTCCCCCAGCTTCAGGTCTTTTCTGATTTGTTTAGAGTATATTTTCTGGGGACGTTGTTACCCTGTTAGCATTTTGTTCTCTCATTAATCTATTCTCCTCTAGGCAAAATGACAAGATGCAAAAAATCACCTCAACAAAAAGAACAAGAGGGAAGTAGTACTGACTGCCAGGGACCTACTCAATACGGACATTAGTATGATGTCGGATCTAGAGTTCAGAATCATGACTTTAAAGATACTAGCTGGGCTTGAAAAAAGTGTGGAAGTTATTAGAGAAACCCTCTCTGGAGAAATAAAAGAACTACAATCTAACCAAGCCGAAATCAAAAAGGCTATTAATGAGGTGCAATCAAAAATGGGGGTGCTAACTGCTAGGATAAATGAGGCAGAAGAGAGAATCAGTGATATAGAAGACCAAATGATGGAAAATAAAGAAGCTGAGAAAAAGAGAGATAAACAACTACTGGATCACGAGGGCAGAATTCAAGAGATAAGCGATACCATAAGACGAAACAACATTAGAATAATTGGGATCCCAAAAGAAGAAGAAAGAGAAGGGCAGAGGGTATATTGGAGCAAATTATAGCAGAGAACTTCCCTAATTTGGGGAAGGAAACAGGCATCAAAATCCAGGAGACACAGAGAACCCCTCTCAAAATCAATAAAAATAGGTCAACACCCCGACATCTAATAGTAAAACGAGTCTCAGAGACAAAGAGAAAATCCTGAAAGCAGCTCAGGAGGAGAGATATGTAACCTACAATGGTAGAAACATTAGATTGGCAACAGACCTATCCACAGAGACCTGGCAGGCCAGAAAGGACTGGCATGATATATTCAGAGCACTAAATGAGAAAAATATGCAGCCAAGAATACAGTATCCAGCTAGGCCGTCATTGCAAATAGAGGAGAGATAAAAAGCTTCCAGGACAAACAGAAACTAAAGGAATTTGCAGACACGAAACCAGCCCTACAAGAATATTGAAAGGGGTCCTCTAAGCAAAGAGAGAGCCTAAAAGCAACATAGACCAGAAAGGAACACAGACAATATACAGTAACAGTCACCTTACAGGCAATACAATGACACTAAATTCATATCTTTCAATAGTTACCTGAATGTAAATGGGCTAAATGCCCCAATCAAAAGACACAGGCTATCAGATTGGATTAAAAAACAAGACCCATCGTGGCGCCTGGGTGGCTCAGTCGTTAAGCATCTGCCTTCGGCTCAGGTCATGATCCCAGGGTCCTGGGATCGAGTCCCACATCGGGCTCCTTGCTCAGCGGGGAGCCTGCTTCTCCCTCTGCCGCTCCCTGCCACTCTGCCTACTTGTGATTCCTCTCTCTCTCTGTGTGTCAAATAAATAAATAAAATCTTTAAAAAAAAAAAAAAAAAGACCCATCAATATGCTGTCTGCAAGAGACTCATTTTAGACCCAAAGACACCCCCAGATTGAAAGTGGGGGGGTGGAAAACCATTTACCATGCTAATGGACACCAAAAAAAAAAAAGCTGGGTGGCAATCCTTATATCAGACAAATTAGATTTTAAACCAAAGACTGTAATAAGAGATGAGGAAGGACATATATCCTACTTAAAGGGTCTATCCAACAAGATCTAACAATTGTAAATATCTATGCCCCTAACATGGGAGCAGCCAATTACATAAGGCAATTAATAACAAAAGCAAAGAAACACATCAACAATACAGTAATATTGGAGGACTTTAACACCCCCCTCAATGAAATGGACAGATCATCTAAGCAAAAGATCAACAAGGAAATAAAGACTTTAAATGACACACTGGACCAAATGGACTTCACAGACATATTCAGAACATTCCATCCCAAAGCAACGGAATACACATTCTTCTCTAGTGCCCATGGAACATTCTCCAGAATCGATCACATCATAGGTCACAAATCAGGTCTCAACCAGTACCAAAAGATTGGGATCATTCCCTGCCTATTTTCAGACCACAATGCTTTGAAACTAGAACTCAATCACAAGAGGAAAGTCAGAAAGAACTCAAATACATGGAGGCTAAAGAGCATCCTACTAAAGAATGAATGGGTCAACCAGGAAATTAAAGAAGAATTTAAAAAATTCATGGAAACCAATGAAAATTAAAACACAACTGTTCAAAATCTTTGGGATGCAGCAAAGGCAGTCCTAAGAGGAAAGTATATAGCAATACAAGCCTTTCTCAAGAAACAAGAAAGGTCTCAAGTACACAACCTAACCCTACACCTAAAGGAGCTGGAGAAAGAACAGCAAATAAAGCCTAAACCCAGCAGGAGAAGAGAAATAATAAAGATCAGAGCAGAAATCAATGAAATAGAAACCACAAGAACAGTAGAACAGATCAACGAAACTAGGAGCTGGTTCTTTGAAAGAATTAACACGATTCATAAACCCCTGGCCAGACTTATCAAAAAGAAGAGAGAAATGACCCAAATCAACAAAATCATGAATGAAAGAGGAGAGATCACAACCAACACCAAAGAAATACAATTATAAGAACATATTATGAACAACTCTATGCCAGCAAATTAATAACCTGGAAGAAATGGATGCATTCCTAGAGATGTATCAACTACCAAAACTGAACCAGGAAGAAATAGAAAACCTGAACAGACCTATAACCAGTAAGGAAATTGAAGCAGTCATCAAAAATCTCCCAACAAACAAAAGCCCAGGGCCAGATGGCTTCCCAGGGGAATTCTACCAAACATTTCAAGAAGAATTAATACCTATTCTTCTGAAACTGTTCCAAAAAATAGAAATGGAAGGAAAACTTCCAAACTCGTTTTAGGAGGCCACCATTACCTTGATCCCCAAACCAGACAAAGACCGCATCAAAAAGGAGAATTACAGACCAATATCCTTGATGAACATGGATGCAAAAATTCTCACCAAAATACTAGCCAATAGGATCCAACAGTACATTAAAAGGATTATTCACCATGACTAAGTGGGATTTATCCCTGGGCTGCAAGATTGGCTCAACATCCGCAAATCAATCAACGTGATACAATACATTAACAAAAGAAAGAACAAGAATCATACGATCCTCTCAATAGATGCAGAAAAAGCATTTGACAAAGTACAGCATCCTTTCTTGATCAAAACTCTTCAGAGTATAGGGATAGAGGGTACATACCTCAATATCATAAAAGCCATCTATGAAAAACCTACAGCGAATATCATTCTGAATGGGGAAAAACTGAGAGCTTTCCCCCTAAGGTCAGGAACGTGGCAGGGATGTCCACTATCATCACTGCTATTCAACATAGTATTAGAAGTCCTAGCCACAGCAATCAGACAACAAAAAGAAATCAAAGGCATCCAAATCGGCAAAGAAGAAGTCAAACTCACTCTTTGCAGATGATATGATACTTTATGTGGAAAACCCCAAAGACTCCACCCCAAAACTGCTAGAACTCATACAGGAATTCAGTAAAGTGGCAGGATATAAAATCAATGCACAGAAGTCAGTGGCATTCCTATCCACCAACAGCAAGACAGAAGAAAGAGAAATGAAGGAGTCGATCCCATTTACAATTGCACCCAAAACCATAAGATACCTAGGAATAAATCTAACCAAAGAGGCAAAGGATCTGTACTCAGAAAACTATAAATTACTCATGAAAGAATTGAGGAAGACACAAAGAAATGGAAAAACGTTCCATGCTCATGGATTGGAAGAACAAATATTGTGAAGATGTCAATGCTACCTAGAGCAATCTACACATTCAATGCAATCCCCATCAAAATACCATTCACTTTTTTCAAAGAAATGGAACAAATAATCCTAAAATTGGTATGGAACCAGAAAAGACCCTGAATAGCCAGAGGAATGTTGAAAAAGAAAAGCAAAGCTGGCGGCATCACAATTCCAGACTTCCAGCTCTATTACAAAGCTGTCATCATCAAGACAATATGGTACTGGCACAAAAACAGACACATAGATCAATGGAACAGAATAAAGAGCCCAGAAATGGACCCTCAACTCTATGGTCAACTAATCTTTGACAAAGCAGGAAAGAATGTCCGATGGAAAAAAGACAGTCTCTTCAACAAATGGTGTTGGGAAAATTGGACAGCCACATGCAGAAGAATGAAACTGGACCATTTCCTTACACCACACACAAAAATAGACTCAAAATGGTTGAAAGACCTAAATGTGAGAGAGGAGTCCATCAAAATCCTAAAGGAGAACAAGGCAGCAACCTCTTCAACCTCAGCTGCAGCAACTTCTTCCTAGAAACATCGCCAAAGGCAAGGGAAGCAAGGGCAAAAATGAACTCTTGGGACTTCATCAAGATAAAAAGCTTTTGCACAGCAAAAGAAACAGTCAACAAAACCAAAAGACAACCGACAGAATAGGAGAAGATATTTGCAAATGACATATCAGATAAAGGGCTAGTATCCAAAATCTATAAAGAACTTATGAAACTCAACACCCAAAAAACAAAGAATCCAATCAAGAAATGGGCAGAAGACATGAACAGACATTTTTCCAAAGAAGACATCCAAATGGCCAACAGATACATGAAAAAGTGCTCAACATCGCTTGGCATCAGGGAAATCCAAATCAAAACCTCAATGAGAATCACCTCACACCAGTCAGAGTGGCTAAAATTAACAAGTCAGGAAACGACAGATGTTGGCGGGGATGCGGAGAAAGGGGAACCTTCCTACACTGTTGGTGGGAATGCAAGCTGGTGCAGCCACTCTGCAAAACAGTATGGAGGTTCCTCAAAAAGTTGAAAATAGAGCTACCATATGATCCAGCAATTGCACTACTGGGTATTTACCCCAAAGATACAAATGTAGGGATCCGAAGGGGTACATGCACCCTGATGTTTATAGCAGCAATGTCCACAATAGTCAAACTGTGGAAAGAGCCAAGATGTCCATCGACAGATGAATGGATAAAGAAGAGGTGGTATATATACACAATGGAATATTATGCAGCCATCAAAAGGAATGAGATCTTGCCATTTGCAATGACGTGGATGGAACTGGAGGGTGTTATGCTGAGCGAAATAAGTCAATCAGAGAAAGATATGTATCATATGACCTCACTGATATGAGGAATTCTTAATCTCAGGAAACAAACTGAGGGTTGCTGGAGTGGGGGGTGGGGTGGGAGGGATGGGGTGACTGGGTGATAGACACTGGGGAGGGTATGTGCTATGGTGAGTGCTGTGAATTGTGCAAGACTGTTGAATCACAGATCTGTACCTCTGAAACAAATAATGCAATACATGTTAAGAAAAAAAAAAGATAGCAGGAGGGGAAGAATGAAGGGGGGAAATCGGAGGAGGAGACAAACCATGAGAGACGATGGACTCTGAAAAACAAACTGAGGGTTCTAGAGGGGAGGGGGGTGGGAGGATGGGTTAGCCTGGTGATGGGTATTGGGGAGGGCACGTTCTGCATGGAGCCCTGGGTGTTATGCACAAACAATGAATCATGGAACACTACATCATAATGTATGGTGATTAACATAACAATAAAAATTTTTTTTTCAAAAGCACTGTTTTAGTTCTGACTTCTGATTTCTCAGTGAAGTTGGAGGTCTCGCCTTTGTAGTGGTGTCCTTTCAGATCATTTTCTGTTTTCTTCCTCAGCGGGCCACTGTCCTGACCCGGTGCTGGTGAACGGCGAACCCAGCTCCCTGGGTCCTGTGAGTGTGAGCGACAAAATCACTTTTAAGTGCAATGAGCACTATATCCTCAAGGGCAGCAGTTGGAGTCGGTGCCTGGCTAACCACACCTGGATGCCTTCCTTACCTGTCTGCAAAAGCAGTGAGTGCAAATCCAAAGATACCAATCAGATACCTCATTTTCTGTACCTGGGAAGCTTTGGGAGCTAGGAAGCAGCCCAGAAACAAGTGGGGCTCACAGAGCCAAGCCTCACCTCGAATGATGTGTTCCAGTGAAATGAAAGCATCCAAAAAATAAACGCTTCCGTCCCCCACCCCCACCCCCCCTTCAGGTAGGATTCCTGTCCTACTAAGTCCAACACGGGATAGTCTGGGGAATCTGACATTTAAAAAAAAAATTCATGATAATGACTTGAAGTTCTTATTTGAAGAATATACAAAAACAGGGGAAAAGGGACCATAGCTCATCCACTGCAAAATTACATAAAATAAGAGTTGGAAAGTATCTCCTTCTGACACGGTAATTCACAGCTCTCAGAGGGACTTAGCTGGATGTGTTTGTTTCATGACTTTTATGTTTATGCAGACATTTTAAATAAACAAAAGCATACACACGTATCTACACACATATATACCTACAAAAATGGGACTTTATTTTTTTAATTGCTTTTTTTGGTGTAACATTATACATGGTAATCTTTTTTCAGATCAGTGTATGTGGCTCTATCTCCGCTTTTTTTTTTTTTCTATCTCCTGCTTTTAAATAATAATGTGGCTATACCACATTATTATTCCACATCTCTAGTATTGATGAACATTTATTCTATTTCTGTATTTTTGCTATTACAAAAATGCTAAAATGAATGTTATATTTATAGATACACATACATATATTTTTATGTCTATGCTATTATTTCTGTAGTCTAGATTCCTAGAATGATTGGTGGGTCACAGGATATATTTATTTGCCAAATAAACTTAGAAGATCCAAGAAATTCTACCAAAAAATATTATTCTTGGACAAAAAGTAAATATTGAAAAATCAATAGTATTTCTTTTTTTTAATTTAATTTAATTTTATTATGTTATGTTAGTCACCATACATTACATCATTAGTTTTTGATGCGGTGATCCATGATTCATTGTGTTCGTATAACACCCAGTGCTCCATGCAGTATGTGCCCTCCTTAATACCCATTACCAGGCTTTCTAACAATAATAATGAGATGAATACTGAAATGTAAAATAATTTCACTCATGAGACCTATATGAAAACTTACTGAAGGACATAAAATAAGACTTAAATAAAAGAAAAGATATGCCATGATCCTGGATGGATAGACTGGTATTACAATGTAATTCTAACCAGAATTTCAAATTTAAAAATACAAAACAAAAAATTAAGTTTATTTGGAAGGGTACATATCTAACATTACAGATTTATTTACTTAAGGACTTAATTTTTTTTTATTTTTATTTTTATTTTTTAAAGATTTTATTTATTTATTTGAGAGAGAGACTGAGAGAGAGAGAGCATGAGAGAGGGGAGGGTCAGGAGGGTCAGAAGGAGAAGCAGACTCCCTGTCGAGCAGGGAGCCCGATGCGGGACTCGATCCAGGGACTCCAGGATCATGACCTGAGCCGAAGGCAGTTGCTTAACCAACTGAGCCACCCAGGCGCCCTTAAGGACTTAATTTTTTAGAGCGCTTCTAGTTTCATAATAAAACTGAGGGAAAGGTACAGAGATTTCCCATATACTCCCCACCCCCACACCTGCATGTTATCAACATCATTCACCAGAATAGTACCTTTTTTTTTTTTTAAACCAAGGATGAACCAATATTGACATATCATGATCACTCCAAATCCATAGTTACCTAAGGACTCACTCTTGATGTTGTACATTCAGTGGGTTTGGACATAAGCATAATGACATATATCTACCATTATAATATCATACAGAGTATTTTTGCTGCCCTAAAAATCCTCTGTGCTCCATTTATCATCTCTCTACTTCCCCTACCCCTATTAACCACTGACCTTTTTTTTTGTTATTATGTTCAACTAGCCATCATTAGTTTTTGTTGTAGTGTTCAGCAATTTATTAGTTGCATATAACACCCACGGCTCATCACCACACGTGCCCTCCTTAATACCCATCACCCGGTTATCCCATCACCCTCCCCCACTCCCTACTGTAACCCTCAGTTTGGTTCCCGGAGTCCAGAGTCTCTCATGGTTTGTCTCCCTCTCTGATTTCTTCCCATTCAGTTTTCTCTCCCTTCCCCTGTGGTCCTCCACGCTAGTCCTTATTTTCCACATATAAGGAAACCGTATGATAATTGTCTTTCTCTGCTTGACTTATTTCAATTAGCATAATACCCTCCAGTTCCATCCATGTCGATGTAAACAGTAGGTATTCATCCTTTCTGATGGCTGAGTAATATTCCATTGTGTATATGAACCACATCTTCTTTATCTATTCGTCTATTGAAGGGCATCTCGGCTCCTTCCACAGTTTGGCTATTGCGGACATTGCTGCTATGAACATTGGGGTACATGTGACCCTTCTTTTCACTACATCTGTATCTTTGGGGTAAATACCTAGTAGTGCAATTGTTGGGTCGTAGGGTAGCTCTATTTTTAACGTCCTGAGGAACCTCCATACTGTTCTCCAGAGTGGCTGCACCAGTTTACATTTCCACCAACAGTGTAAGAGGGTTCCCCTTTCTCCACATCCTCGCCAACACTTGTTTTCTGTCTTGTTAATTTTTGCCATTCTAACTGGTGGAAGGTGGTATCTCATAGTTTTGATTTGTATTTCCCTGATGGCTACTGATGTTGAACATTTTTTTGGGTCTGTTAGCCATTTGTATGTCTTCTTTGGAGAGGTGTCTGTTGATATCTTCTGACATTTTTATTGTTTCCATAGTTTTGCCTTTTCCAGGGTATCATATATTTAGAATCATATAGTATGTAGCCTTTTCAGATTGTTTTTTTTTTTTACTTAGTAATAGGCATTTAAGTTTCCTCCATTTCTTTTCATGGCTTGATAGCTCATTTTCTTTTATCAAATAATACCCTATTTCTGGATGTACCACAGTTTATTGATCCATTCACCTTTTTTTTTATTATGTTCAGTTAGCCAATATATAATACATCATTAATTTTTGATGTAGTGTTCAGCAATTCATTAGTTGTGTATAACACCCTGTGCTCATGACCACATGTGCCCTCCTTAATACCCATCACCCGGTTAGTTCTGAAGGACATCTTGGTTGCTTCCAAAGTTTGGCAATTATGAATAAAGCTGCTATAGATATCAGGTGCAGGTTTTCGTGGGGACATAAGTTTTCAACTCCTTTGGATAAATACCAATGAGTGCAATTGTTGGATCTTGTATATTTAGTTTTGTGAGAAACCATCAAAATCTCTTCCAGAGTGGTTATGTCATTTTGCATTCCTACCAGTGAAGTATGAGAGATCTTGTTGCTCCACATCCTCGTCAGCATTTGGTGTCATCAGCATTCCAGATTTTGGCCATTCTCGTAGCTGTGTAGTGGTATCTCATTGTTTTAATTTGCATTTCCTGATGACATATGCTCATTTTCCCTCTGTATATCTTCTTTGGTGAGGTGTCTGTTAAGGTCTTTAGCCCATTTTTAAATCAGATTGTTTTCTTATTGTTGAGTTTTAAGAGTTCTTTGTATATTTTGGATAACAGTCCCTTATAAGATTTGTCTTTTGTAAGTATTTTCTCCCAGCCTCTGGCTGGTTTTCTCATTCTCTTGATATGTCTTTCATAGCACAGAAGTTTTAAATTTTAATGAATTCCAGCTGATTAATTATTTCATGGATGGTGTCTTTACTGTTATATCTAAAAAGGCTTCCTTCCCTATACCCAAGGTCATCTAGGTTTTCTCCTACATTATCTTCTAGGTGTTTCATAGTTTTGTATTTTACATTCAAGCCTATGATCCATTTTGAGTTAATTTTTTTGAAGGATATAGTAGATAGGCAGTTTAAAAGCACAAACTACAGTTAGCCTCTTTTAGGGAGTTTGTGGTTACTTAAAACATGCATATATACAACACGCAGTTAAATTACAAGCATATACCATCATCATTGGTTTGACACAAGTTTAAAGTATTTATTTCTTCCAGGCTTTTCTGTTTTACTCTCTTTTAATTCGATACTTCCTATCCTAGCTCTGAAATGCAGAATCTGTCTTTTTGTGTTAGTTCATTGCCCAATTTTAGGGGAAGCTCCTGAGGTACCTGAGTAAAACAGATTTTTTTCTGCTTAGACCCAAGATCTATATCATCTCCTTCAGTTCAAAACTGTACCCTTAAAAGTCACCAGAAGAGCACTGTATAAACTGGAGTTCCTTAATCAATTCATTTAAATTCTTTTCCTTTCCTCTATACAGCTTTTGAACTCAGTTTTTGATCTTTTTTTAAATTCAATTAATTAACATATAATATATTATTGATTTCAGAGGTACAGGTCTGTGATTCTTCAGTCTTATATAATACCTAGTGCTCATTACAACACATACCCTCCCCAATGTCCATCACCTAGTTACCCCCATCCTCTCACTCCCTCCCCTTCAGCAACCCTCAGTTTGTTTCCTATGATTAAAAGTTTCTTATGGTTTATCTTCCTCTCTGGTTTCATCTTGTTTTATTTTTTCCTCTCTTCCCCTATGATCCTCTGTTTTGTTTCTTAAATTCCACATATCAGTGAGATCATATGATAATTGTCTTTCTCTGATTGACTTATTTCACTTAGCATAATACCCTAGAGTTCCATCCACGTCATTACAAATGGCAAGATTTCATTTTTTTGGATGGCTGCATAATATTCCATTGTATATATATATATACACACACACACCACATCTTCTTTATCCATTCATCTGTCGATGGACATCTGGGCTCTTTAAAAGTTATTTATTAACTGCTCGAAGAAAACACCTGTGTTGTAGAAAAAATACAGAAAACAAAACATTTAATTACCTACAAACCTACTACCCATAAATAACAGAATACCTTGATATGTAATTTTCAGCCTTTTTTTCTGTTCATATATGTTTATGCATGAGTGTGTTTACAAAAATAGTATTATAAGCTATTATTTAATTACATTTCTATTTGTATGCATTATTATAATACATAGTATTATCTACTATGTACTATAGTAATACATGTTCTTTTATGCTTTGCTGTTTTTGCTCAACTTTTTGTTTTGAATAGTCGAATACAACTATTTGTATTTCTATTTCTGTAAGTATACATCTGCATAATCATTCTTAATTTACACTTTAATCTTGATCACCATGTTTAGACTCATAATGTCAGAGCTCAAAGGGACTTTAGAGATCATATTATTTAAACTGCTCATCTTATAGCTTAGGAGGGAAGCCAAGAAGGATGAAATAGTGGTTAGTGGAAGAACCAAAATTCACAACATCTAATACTTTGTCCACCTCTCTTTATAGACTCCTCTTGTTTGCTCCCCTCTGCATTCTCCTTGTTTCTGCAGGTCTCATATCGCAAAATTCTGTCCCACAGAGAATGTCAGCCTCCATTTGAACTCACACCATTTATTTCCTGTCTCAGGGAGTTACTTCTCCCACCTCTACCTCTGGTTTAATTTTTTTTTTCTTGTCCACTGTCAGTCTCTACAACTTAAACTTCCTTTCCTCAAGCTCATGCCGATCAGATAGCACTCTCAAATTGCTAATGACTCAGAGGATAAGCAGGGGGAGGGGGTCTTTCCCATGGATAAATACCATTTGACCAGAAGGAAATGAATGGAGAATGTGTCCCCAGATCCCGCATGGACGGTTACAGTTAGGGGGTGCTGTTAATTGAGTACAACCCATGACTATCACTCTTGTACTCCTGTTTATCAGGAGACTGCCGCCCTCCCGGGAATCCCGCTCATGGCTATTTTGAAGGAAGAGATTTCAGCTCAGGTTCTACCATTACTTATCACTGTGAAGACAGGTAAGTGCATGCAGCCTTTCAAATGCAAGATCTTGCCCATTGACTGGTAGCATTGTTTTGGGGAATGACCCAGTCTATCTCACCTAACACCCAGATTTCCTACTCCCTCAGGAATCCGAGCTCATTCTGATTTTGAGAGCTGCTTTAGCCCACGGCCAGCTCTCCCTAATCTCTAGAAGATAGACTGATCCTTTTATTTATCCTAGAGAAGATGTTTAAAATGTATATTTTTCTAAAGAATCTCAGAACAAAAACTCAAAGAAATATAGAACATATGGAACTGCAGAAAGAGTGATTTATTGATTGTTCCAGCCTGCTCCCCCCTGCAAATGGTTTCCTATTTGCAGTTACTTGAATAATATATATATTCTTTAAAAAAAAAAAAAAGAAAGAGAGTGACTTATAGAGCCTTAATAACCTTAACTTAGACTACCTGATCACCCACCTTACAGATCTACTCTTTCCTTGGCTTCAGTCTTATTAACTCAGGGTCATGTCTCCACATTAACATTTCAATGTCGTAATATACTTGTAGTGGACTTTGCCGTCAGCTCTTACGTTTTTCTGATTAAAAGCTGTAGCTCCTTCATAAGACTTATCTGAGGGTTATCTCTAGCTTTCCACTCCTTTTTAGAGGGTAGATGGCAGATGCTTTTTTAAGTTATTGAATGATGACATGCTTCCTCCCTCACCCTCCCCACCCAACAACTGTGTAAACACACATATTCAGAATTTCTCACTTCTCCATGTTTTATGGGTTGAATTGTCACTTGGGTCCTCTCCGCCCCCAAGGAGAGTGGTTTTAGTTGATTACTGTTTGGTAATACTGAAATCACTTAAGCATGCATTAAGGCTCAGGGAGGTGGATTCTATCACAGTAGGAAATACTGAAATACAGCTATACAAAACCAGGCTTAGTTGCCCGGTTTAGAAGGTGGGAAGTCTAAGTGTTGTTGCCATTCTGATTTCTGTTCAGGTACCACTTAGTGGGCACACGGGACCAGCAGTGCATTGACGGGGAGTGGAGCAGTGCACTTCCAGTTTGTGAGTTGATCCAAGAAGCTCCCAAACCAACTCCACAGACGGAGTTTGAGAAGGCACTCGTAAGTAGTAGGTTTTTGTCTGTCTTGTTCACAGTTGTATCTCCAGGGCCTGGCATCACTCCTGGCTCATGCTCAGTAAATATCTGTTCAGTGGGGGATGTTTTTGAAGGGTTGGTTAGACAGGGGCTCATAAACTATTAACTCACATTTTTATATATGAAGTTCTCATTCGCCACCATCATCACAAACACCTCATGAGACCTGTTGGTAGGAGTTATTGTCTCATGGACTTTACAGAGCAAGCTTTATAAACTCGTGCCTTAGACTTGTATGCATTGATGTGAAAAATCTCTAAAATTCTTCTAGATTCCAAAAACCACTGAACAAATCATTTTCACTGAGATCCCTCTTTTACTTTATATTTATTGCTGGGATAATAATAAGTATCTAAAAGCCAGAAGATTTAAATGATTTATCATGTTGAAGACCCAGATTTGTATTTAAGCTGCTGGGTTCTGAGCCCCTAGTCAGGGACCTAACCACTACTCATTAGCTTCAGACTATACAGCTGGATCTCAGTTCTTAAGTTGTAGCTTAAATTTTTTTTTTTCTTTTCTTCAGTTTGCCTTTCAGGAGAATAAAGAACTTTGCAAAGCCATAGAGAACTTTGTGCAAAGACTAAAGGAAAATGGCTTAACAATGGAGGAACTGAAATATTCTCTGGAAATAAAGAAAGTTGAGTTGGAGGCAAAAATGTTGTCCTAACATTGCAACTGAGCAGACTGGGTAATAGAAATGCACCTATGAATAAATTTTCTCTTGGTTCTAAAACCGGTTTCGGATTTTTGTCTCATTAGACTGGAATGCGACTTCATAGAAATCAACTACAGTTGCATAAAACACCGTGTGTGTGTGTGTGTGTGTGTGTGTGTTCTCAGAATGTGGAAAGACCAAGCGTGGTGGTTGTCTGTTTAAGACCAGAGGTTAGCAGCACATCAATGGGGAGTGAAGGGCCTAATTTCCTGTCTGTAAGGAGAATGGGAAGCTCAGATTACAGCTAAGGGTATGTCTCATATTTTAATGAACATGAATGGTGAGGCAAAAAATAACCTCAAATTAACCAAAACCTATGAAGCAAAAATCAACCTCTCAATTTGAGAAAATAGGTTTAGAACAGTTATATCCTTGAAATAACCTGTTGAGACAAAAGTAGAATTAGGACTTAAACTCTCTCTGAGTCTCCCCTATATCCTGTTTATGAAACCAAGTTTCTAAATCTTCTGCAGTAATATTGCTTACCACCTTTGGATGAAACCCAGCCCTGCCTGGTAAATTTGAGATGGTGAAATATAAGTGAATATGTTCTTTTCCTCTTTTTAGAGGGCAAGAGAAGCAAGAATCCTGAGGTAGAATAGGTTTTCCTATCAAGATGTCATATTGAGACGATATGACAAACTTCTCCCATCTCTCACTCTGACCTCCACCAAAACACATAGGAAATCTGGATGAAATACAAACAAAATACAGAAGAGAGCTTGAAATAATGGAATGTCCCTAGATGAAATCATGAAGGAGAATAAGAAATAGGAATAAGAAACTCTCAAGTACCCCACAGTCTATTAATAGACACATGATAAGTATATACATATCATTAATTCAGGGTGGTTAAAATGAAATAAACACTTTTCACAGAACAATGTGCTAGGGGAACTCAGCTTTGAGGAGGGGGCCTTCTGTCTGGGAGGAGGAGGCAGGAAATTGTTAAGGAGAGTCACAGTTATCGGGCCTTTAAAAGTGAATAGGACTGAGAGACAAAGATTAGGGAAGAGGACATGGCAAGTGGGAAGATTTGGAGAAGTGTAGTAAGAGCATCATAAAGAGCCATAAGCTTTTGAACCAAGTAAATCCACTCCTCAGGTTCATCTAACTTGAGCAAAATGATTTTTAATTTGAAGCTATTCATTCTATTATTGTGTATATTGTCTATACTGGGGAGACCTTGTGAACATTTGAAATGTCCAATCTTAGGAATATTTTTAGTAAATTATGGCTCATCAAATGTAATGCAACCTCTTACAGTGATAATTATGAACAGAAAATCTTAAAAATATAATCCTAAGTAAAAGTAGAATACAGAATAATAAGAACTTATGATTGCATTTCTATAAAACCTTTCTTCTTGTAGAGGAGGACCAGGCAATAACAGGCACAGATGAAAACAGTTGTCTTAGGATGGTGAAACTCCAGGTGTTTATCCTCTTAAAGTTCTTTAATTTTTTAAAAAAGATTTTACTTATTTATTTGAGAGAGTTGGTGAGTGAAAAAGAGAGAGCACATGAGCAGAGGCAGAGGGAGAGGGAGAAGCAGACTCCCCTGCTAAGCAGGGAGCCCAACGCGGGGCTCGATCCCAGGACCCTGGGGTCATAACCTGAGCTGAAGGCAGATGCTTAACCAACTCAGCCACCCAGGTGCCCCAAGTCCTTTAATGTTTTAAATTGAGCTTTTAATAATAAGTTTTTAAAAACGTGTTGTACAAAGAGGCAGGAAAGATGGAGCATGTTTAGGGAATGGCGCATGGCCTGGATTTGCCAGGATAAAGCATGGGAAGTGATGAGAAAGAAGGCTGGACAGATACATTAAAGCCAGTTGATGGAAGCTTTTAAAGGGCAGAGAATTTAAACTTTATTTGGTAGGCAGTGGAGGAAATCAAAGACTTCCAAGAAAAGAAATGGTAAGGATTGAACACAGATTTTGCTCACAACATTATGTGTAGTATGGGTAGAAGTAGGAAAGAATAGAGAGAAAGAAACCATCTTAAGCACTACTGCCTTATGCAGGAGACAATGATGACCTGAACTGGATGATGGCAGCAGAAACAGAGAAAGAATATCAGACACGAGAGACACTGGAAAATAAATAAAAACAACTTAGCAACTCACTGAACATTGGAGGATGAGGGAGAGGAAGGGTTTAAAAGTGAGTTTGAAATTGCATTCTGGATTATTGTTGGGGTCAGAAAGTGAAGCTTCTGGGCAGGAAACGAGAAGTTCCCTTTTGGATGTGCTGCATATAAGGTGATTGTAAGACGTCTGATGGGCGACAAAAAATGTTAAGTCTGCAGTTAGGAGAGGAATCAGAGATAAAGAGCTGGTTATGGGGTGGTCCTCTTATAAGGAATAGTTAAAGCCATGACAGCGGGTACAATAATTTTAAAGATAATGAAGAGAAAAATTTTTGAAAAGAAGAACCTGAGACATATCTATATGTAGGGATGAGAAAGAACAAGAAGAGATAAGAACAACTAAGAGCATTTCGTGAAAGAGGGGAATCAGAAAAGTTCAGGGTAATGGAAGCCAAAGGAGAGGAGTTTCAGAAAGGAGATAAACAGTGTTAGGGGCTGCTGAGAAAGAAATTTTGGATTTGGAGATAAGGACATGCCTGAAAGAGGTTTGTCCCTAAGGGAGGGAAGAAGCCAGATCTTAAGGCCATGATGATGGGAGGGGCTGGGAGGGATTAATGAGAAAGAATAAGCAGGAAACGCAGGAAACCCAAGAAGTTAAACATCTCATGACAGAACAAAAATGGAATTTGAGGTTTTGGCAAGAATTAGGGAATATTTCAGGATGAAAGACGCATTGAAAATAAGAAAACAAAGAGATCTCTTCTGAAGCAAGAGTGACTAGAAGAGGGGTGCCTGGGTGGTTCAGTCAGTTAAGGTTCTGCCTTGGGCTCAGGTCATGATCCCAGGGTCCTGCTCAGCGGGGAGTCTGCTTCTCCCTCTCCCGCTGCCCCTCTCCCCACTCATGCTCTCTCTCTTTCTCTCTCTCTCTCTCAAATAAATAAAATCTTTTTTTAAAAAAAGAGTGACTAGGAAAGAAGAATGAATAGAAGCTACTGAAGAATGAATAGAAGCTACCATAGAATGATTATTTAGTAGAGTAGGAGGCAAGACCACCTGCTGAGAGGAAGCCCATTCCGTGGCCTGGAGAGAAAAATTTGGAACAGTCACTATGGAAAGTAAAGAAAAGCACTCAAACAGATCAGGAAATGGTATTTTGAAGAGTCAACTTAGCTCTCAAGACTTGGCACAATCTGGAATCCTTTTCTACAATCATTCTTGTCAAATTGGCAAATCAGTCTCTCCTTGTAATTTGGCCCGTGTTATCTTTACCTCTAATAACCTTCTCATTTTCATCTAATCATTTTTCCACTTTTCATTCAACACCCAGCTCAAATCCCGTATCTCTGCCAAAGCTTCTGTTGTGCTTCAACTCTACTCTTTTCTGAGACCTTTATGAGACTTTTGGTGTTTATGACAGAAAAAAGTGAAGTTTTCAGGAAAAACTGCACTTTAATAGCAATCTTCCAGCTCACAAACCTTGATCCTGAGGATTAATACCTTAATTAGATAATGTCAGGATTTGGGGTCCTTCCTAGATCTGTGTGATCACAGACATGCCAGGCTTTGTTGCATTTCTCGGAGCAGTGCTCAATGATAGACCAATTTCTGGAAGTCATTTGGCGTCCAGCATGTACTAGTCATGGTGGTGGTGGTAGTTATTTAACATGTTCCAGGCAACAGGGCCCACAGCAGGAATTCAGTAAATTTGTTAAACTCCCCACCATTGTACTTTCTTGGGGTGGAATGAAGACCGGCACAGGGCAAAGTCATCAGTCACTGAGCCCTAGGAAGGCCTGCTGGACCCAGCATCATGGAAAGTGGATCAAGGTGGACGTAGTCTCAATCCTACGGTATCCAAGTTTTCTAGGTTAGTTGGATTGCATCGTTATGTGTCTGTCTTGTATTTAGGAAAAAAGAAAAAACAAATCTGGCATCAAGTTCATATTACCTTTCCACTTATGGGAAATGGTTGGCAGAGGAGAGAACAAATGATTGCAACATGTTATCAAGAAGGAGGGTTCGTGCCCAGGAAGGAGATTAGGTAAATACCCGTGCTTTATTTCTGTTGTTAATCATTCACTGGGCCAGTAGAAAGTTTCTGCCCATCCATTAGAACTTAGCCATCCCTGACCAACCAATTACATGGCTGGAATTCAGGGACTTCTCGGTGGTGCAATTATTAGCTAGCTTCAGGGTACTCTGGTAAACTCTGATCTGGGGAGGAACTAAAACTATTAGAGATCCAGGCAGTTTTTTTCCCTTGAGAAACGACCCACGGCACCACGATAGAGTCTTCCACTTCTTTCTCAGCTACCTGCAGGTCAGTGGATTATTTGGCGTACCTTGGGGAAAAGGCTGCTGGTTTGGCCCTTTAAGGAGGGCAAGAGAGACAAAAACTTGGGGGTACTTTCAGCAGAAATCTTTTCAGGAGTCCTGCATTAGAGGGTTGTATGACCTGAAAAGTACTTCTAATCCCTCTGAGCCTCAATTTTGTATTATAAATGGGGGCATGAATAAACTGAAGCAGAAAGAAAGTAGAAGGTTACTCTTGTTATTGTATCTAGAAGTTGAGTGTGTTGGTTCATTGATTCTTTACCATCACTCCACACAGGGGATTTGAGGCAGGAGGTAAACCAGACTTTCCAAAGGGGTTCACAGATGACCTGGTTTAGAATGTAGACCTAGTTTACATTCAAAAAATTGATGCAGTGCCCTTTGGGATTTTATTAACCCCTCCACATCTTCTCCACCATTCACAGCAAAGATCTTTTGATTTAATAATAAGAAGGATGTTGGTCAACCTCCAGTTACTTTCTGAAGCTAGAAGTCTTAACTGTTCTCACCTCCTTTCTCTTCCCCACTTTTCTGAATCTGGCAATGCTGATTACCCTTCCTTCTGGAAATTTTCTTCTCCCTTGGTGGGGCAGGACACAGTACTATTCTTGTCCTTATTTCAACTCCTCAACCACTCTTAGCTGACTCCTGTTCTGTCCCTAAATACAGTAGTACATAGAGAATGAAAAATAGAGTATCCAGATTGGGCAGAAGCATCAAGGAAGGTTTGAATTAAGTGTAGTGATACACTTGAATATAATATGAGCACACAAGGAAGAAGCTGATAGATAAAGAGATTTTAGGAAGGAGGTGAAAGTGTGGAAGCAAGTTCTTTCTGGAATCTGAAAGCGATGTGATTGAGTGTGCAGCTGCAAGAAAGGAGCTGAGACTGGATAGGAATATTGCCCTTTCCAAAGGTATGCAAGCTTTAAAAGGGTGGAGTTTAGACAAAATAAGTACATGGACTTAAAAAGTAGTCTCTAATGGAAGGAGAAATTTGGGAGCTGAGAATTTTCCCAGCGCCTCTCAAATTGTACTGCACTGCACATGCCAACAGTATTTGTGATCAGAGACCTGTCATGTTGACTATAGCTCTTGAGTTGGTTTCACCTCTATAGGAATTTAAAAGATGATGAAGTCATCGAAATATGAGGGCATTTACTAGGGAAGTCTTAGCTTTTCAGCGGGCAGCTAATAGCATTCTAGACTTTGTAGGGAATGGAAAGATGATCTAAGTTTACTGTCATCATTTGAGAGATGAGAAACTGAGACCCAAGGAGCTGACATGGCTTCTTCAAGATCATAGAATTAGACTATAGTATGACTGGGGCTCAAATTCGGGTCTCCTTAACTCACAAGTCCTAGCCTCCGTCCCTATCCTCTGTAGTCTGCTGAATCCTGTGCAGGTTCTGCTGAGGGACCACAAGGCATAGTGATGGTGAACTCCAGATGCCCGCCTGGTCCGCTGAGCCACCATATAGCCTCAGAACTAGCGAGGGAAGTGGGATCACTGTATCATTTATCTCTTTAACATTTACAAAGCATTTCACAGACGTTATTCCATTTGGTCCTCAATAAGGCAGTTAGTCATTCTCACTCTGAGGATAAAACTATATTGAGTTTTATTTATTTCACATTTATTGGATAACTGTTACATGCCAGTTACAATATCAGGTCAGCACTAGGAAGCTGAATAAATATCTTCTTTGTCTTCAAGGGACTCACAATTTATTTTAGGAGGCAAAAGTGAATAGACAATGAAGAGATACAATACCATATGGTATGACGATTAAGGTATCAGTAAAATACTAGGGGAGCATAGAAGAGGCTGATATTTCTCAGTGGGGTTGGGCAATTCTTCATTAAGGAAGTGAGGAGGTTGGAGGTAAGAGCATCTGTCATAAGAGATATTATATGCAAATGCTTTCAAGTGTTTAAAAAAATCTAGGATTGGGTGGGTGGGTTGCTCAGTTGGTTAAGTGTCTGCCTTCAGCTCAGGTCATGATCCCAGGGTCTTGGGATTGAGCCCCGTGTTGGGCTCCCTGCTCTACCAGGAGTCTGCTTATCCTTCTCCCTCTGCCCCTACCCCCACTTGTGCACTCTCTCTCTTTCTTGCTCTCTCTCTCTCAAATAAATAAATAAATAAAATCTTTTTAAAAATCCAGGATGTATTTTGGGAAAGGTAAGCACCTTCATGAAGTTGAAGCCCAGTGTTTTAAGTGAGTAGAAGCAGAAGGAGGGTTGGGAGAGGTATGAAAACCTAGTAAATCTGGAACCATCGGAATTTTTAAGTAGATTGCTTTTTAGGACTATGACAGTGTCAAGCTAGAAGCTGGCTTACAAGTGTTTGGAGGAGTTTGCAGTGGTCTAGGGTGGGTGAAGGGAATTATGAGAATGTAAACCCGGACTATGGAAATGGGGTGTAGGAGAGAGTGACAGATTCTAGTGCTGCTATGGCCAACGTGACAGGACCTGGAGACTGAATATGGGAAGTGACAAGAGAGAGGAGGCTAGGATGACTCATGTTTCTAGTCTGAGAGTCTGGGTAGGGATGATCACCTTAGCTGAGACAGAAAACACAGAGATCAAGTGTGTTGGAGAGAAGATAGTGGGTTTCATTTGGGATATGTTGGATTCAAGGTACGTGGGAGACACAAAGGAAGCAGCTGGAAAACTGATCTGAACCTTGGGAATTATACCTTAAACTTGAAAAAAAAAAAAGGATTTTTGCTTAAATAAGAAATCTAACAATCAGTTGCAGGGGATGGGGGAAGTAAGAAGAGCTTGGTAAAAGGATATAAATTTTCATCTTTAAGATAAAGAAGTTCTGAGGATCTAATGTAAAACACGGTGACTATATTTGATAGCACCATTTCGTATAATTAAAATTTGCTAAGAGAGTAGGACTTAAATGTTCTCACCAAAAAGAAAAGGATAAATATGTGAGCTGATGGATGTGTTCGTTAACAAGATGGGTTGGCGGGGGGGACAGTCCTTTCATAAAGTGTGCCTATGTCAAATCACCATGATACCCACTTTAAATATCTTACAACTTAGTCACTTACATCTCAAGAAAGCTGATATTTAAGAAAAAAAATCTAACAGGGTTGGCTTAGCTGGTTAAGCACCCAACTCTTGATGTCGGCTCAGGTCATGATCTCACTGTTGTGGGATTGATCCCCAAGTGGAATCTGCTTGAGATTTTCTTTCTCCCTCTCCCTCCGTCCCTCCTCCTGCTTGCGTGGCTCTCTAAATAAATAAATAAATAAATAAACAAACAAACAAATAAATAAATAAATAAATATTTTCAAAAAGAGGGAGAAATCCAACAGAGTGAGAAGTTTGAGTTTACTTTCAGGATTACAAGTGAAAAGTGTAATAATTTATTTCTGGATCTGCAAAGAAAACTCACAGGTATTTATCACACTCAAAAACAGAAATGTAATTTACATGTTATCCTGGACAAAAAATAATTTGTGAAAACTTTTCCAGAGTTAAAGGTTTTGTTCAAGTGGCGGAGCAATTATCTCTAAAGTCCAGAAATAACATATGCAAGGTCATCTTTAGGATGCAGATACCTGCTTTTGTGTAGCTACAGTGGAAGACAGAATAGTTTCTTAGAAATGTTCACAGTTTTAAGGCTAAGCACTGGAATTCCACTAGTTAGTGACAAGAGCAAAAGAGGTAGGTCAAAGACTCAAAATTTATGTATGGGACTGAATAGGGCAGAATAAGATTTTTATTAACAACTGAGCTCATGAAGCATGTAAGTTTTTACACACTGTACAGGAGACAGTTCTGTGAGTTCTGCCCAGAGATCTGTGAGCGATTCATGGGTGATGGTCAAAGTCATGGGAGTAGGTGAATGGCTCTCTGGAAGACAGTGAAAACTAGGGGAAGAAGAAAGCCCAGGACAGTCCCCTGTGGGCACCAGAGTCTCTGTTCTGGGTATGGCATTGGGTTTCACCATCACCAAAGGCCAGAGTGAAAACCCAACCAATGGATTCTGACCCAAATCCAGTGGGCTCTCCTCTGCACTGGGGTTTAATTGAAGTACCCTGGTGATGCAGCCAAATGCCATTGTAATTATACATCACTATTTTAAATCTTATTTTTATTTATGAGAGAGAGAGAGAGAGGGAGAGCTGGGGGAGGAGCAGAGGGAGAGGGACAAGCAGACTTTGCACTGAGCATGGAGCCCAACTTGGGGCTTGATCCCAGGACCCCGAGATCATGACCTGAGCCAAAATCAAGAGTCACTGAGCCACCCCGGTACCCCAACCCCAATTACACATCATTATTATGATGATGTTTTGACTCCAAGAGTTCTGGTCCTACCAAGGTCACATGCCAACCCCAATCCCATCACTTTCTTCTCTGACATTTCTTTCAAATGTTTTCTGTGTGCCGGCTGTGTGCCAAGCCAAGCTACCTCTCAGCAATTCTGAGAGATGTGTGTAGTTATCATTCCTACTTTATAAAAGAGGAAATTGAAGCTTAGAGGAGTGGAGTATCCTGCCCGGGGACACACAGTTTCCATCTGGTGGAGCCAGGATTCAATCCACATAGCCTGGATCTGACTCCAGAGCCCATGCCCCAGGGTCTGGCTACATACTGTCCTCCTGTGTTCCCCAGCACTGTGTCTGTGGCCTCAGCGTGAGGCTGAGTGATGGGAATTCCTCAGCCCAGTGTAGGGTCTGTATGTATGGCTGCCTTTTATCTCCTGTCCTAATCTGTGGAGGGAGGAGACTAGTTTTGTTGATTCCTTCCCTCCTCACTGTCCTCTGTTGAATGGTTGAGGATATGATGACTTCAGATTAAGGATGGGGAAGAGCCTAGGGTAAAATCACTAGGCTCTGTTCTCATCAAGAATTTTAAAATCAATTAAAATCTGGGGCGCCTGGGTGGCTCAGTTGGTTAAGCGACTGCCTTCAGCTCAGGTCATGATCCCAGGGTTCTGGGATCGAGCCCCGCATCAGGCTCCCTGCTCGGCCGAAAACCTGCTTCTCCCTCTCCCACTCACCCTGCTTGTGTTCCCTCTCATGCTGTCTCTCTCTCTCTCTCTCTCTATCAATTAAATAAATAAATAAAATCTTAAAAAAAAATAAAATCAATTAAAATCTGACCTTGACAAAAGAAACACTCTAAGAGTAGATAAGGATGTGGAGCAGTGTTATTCCTCTTCAAAACATTTTATCACTAGGTACTTTTGAATGTAACTTGTACAAACATTTATTGAGTGCTTTAACTGTGTGAAGTGCAGTGCTTGGTACCAGGTGGAGCAGAGGCAAGTAAGAACCCACCTCTGACTTCAAGGACCTTGTGGTCTAGTGTTGAAGACAGACTTCAGATGCCAGTTATAAGCCACATCTGAATCAAAATTATAAACACCGAGTTGTAATTAGAATATGGAGACTGGCCTGGAGGCAAAGAGGGGACATTGGAGAAAGGACTGGCAGAATGAGTAGGAATCAAAGAAGGAAGAAGGACAAGAAGGCAAGTGATATGGGCAGGGGTACATTATAGGAAAATGTCTGGGGCTGTCAGGGATCCAGATTGTCCAGGTCAATCAAAGCAAGGGGGCTCAGACCAAATGACGGAAAAGCTTCTTTCCTGAAGCATCAGTTTGCTGAAATCTATTTGCTAAGTTTGTCAAATGATCAATTTACTGAACAGCATTTTAAATATTCATTTTGAATATACTCAATGATTATAAATATCTTCTTGTTGAACACAGCTAATGAATGCATTCTTTGTAACAGCATTTTAAGTATTTCTGTTCAATTTCTTAAAAGTAAGGATTTAATCTTATGGCTCTGTTTTTATAAATATACTCAGGAATATTTTCCGGAGTATATCCAATGTATATATTTTCATTGTGAACATAATAACTGCAACAATTCATGTGGGGAATTTGCACTTTATACTGTCAGCTTCTTGAGTTTTTATAGTCAAATTCTATTTGCCAATGTATTGGTATTTTATTTTATTTTATTTTATTTCTTAAAAATTAAAAACAATTTCCAGCTTATTTTTTTCAAAATTTTTAAATGCATATTGGTATTTTTAAACCCCTTTCTTCAATTTCACTGAAATTCAACCAAATCTATAAACTCATCAAAAATTAAAGAAACTCATTTCTATAGTTTTTACAGTTCATAACAGTTTTCATTGGATAGGAGAAACTTCATATTTTGCAAATTTCATGGATGATTTAGTGGACTGGTTTTCACTACGTGGAATGAAACTTACCCCCACCTGTCTCCTATCTCATCCAGATTGTTAGGGCAAGAGGAACAGATCTGGAGTGGAGGGACAGGCAAACAAAAAAGAAAAGGGGTGTGTAAGGGCCCCAAATGCTGGTCCTGGCTCCTTCACACCTCTTTAGACCACCTCAATATATTCAGTACAAATTCTGTAAACATATTTTAGTAAGCGAATACATTTGGTAAGTGGATCATCACACTGAATTTACTTTTTGGCAGAATTGTCCTAGTGGCTGTGTCCAGAGCTCAGGTGCCAGGATGTCTGTCAGGTGGGATGGCCCACGACTGATGGCAAGTGGAAGAATGGCTTCATCAGAACTGAATTTTGGAAAGATAAGATCAAATGAGTCATTACTCAGTTAGGAAGTTAGTCTCTCCACGTAGTGTGAAGCGTCATTATAAACTTGTCTCTTCCTGTAAAGTGGGACAGAAACATCTTTGAGGGAAACATTGAGGGCACTCAACAGATACGTGCATAGTATGAGTTATGAACATCTGGGGCATATAGAATCATCTGGATCTAACAGGTATCAGAATAAAATCATCATGAAATTCAGTATTTCTTTGGGAGTTAACTTCATATATTCCTTGAGGACAAGGAATATTTCTAATGTAAATTTAAGATTTAAGATGTATTGTTTTTCCCAAAAGGAACAGGAGTGGTGGTGAAGAGAAAAGTGTCTTTCATGATTTTTCTTTAAAGAAGTCTTCAAATAGATCAAATATGAAAGTACAATTAGTCACATATATTTTTCTTTTTCTTTGTATAGCTGTATGTCTATACATACAGACATACATATCTCTCCATAAACCATTCTTTTAAAACTGCAAATGACTCGATGGTTCATTGCCTCTGTCGACAGTTGTCATGAGGAACTCACAATACTACACAGATCTGACTCCTTTTCTCTATCTCATCATTTTCCTACCTTTTAATATTATTTTGTCTTACATTTGTTCCCTCTTCTCCAACTCCTCTGCCATTTCCTTGGTCTGACCATTTCTGTGGCTCACTTGGCCAGGTACAATGGTCTTCTTCCTCAACCTTCCTGTTTCCTCTCTTTGTTCACTTCAGTCTATCATGTACACATCTGCCACAGTGATCTTTTAAAAGCACAAGCACTGGGTGTTATATGCAACTAATGAATCGTTGAGCAGTGCATCAAAAACTAATGATGTACTATAGGTTGGCTAACAGAACATAACAAATAAATAAATGAATAAATGAATAAATAAAAAAAATAAAAACACAATAATGAATCACTCCTTAGCTTAAAAGTAAACAAAGGGGAAACAAAATCCAAAATGAAAAATAATGATTCTTTATTCCCTAAAGAGTAGAATCTATAAATTCCTAAACTTGACCCTTATATCCCATTTGGACACTTCTATAAGCAACCACCTTCCCATCTCTCCTCTGAGGAGAGGCTAACACTCCCTGTGTCATGTAACATTTGAGTGCATGTGCTTTACTACTGTAGGGCATAATTTCCTTGAAGATGTGGACCCCGTAGTATTTATCCTAGTGCTTTATGACAACTAGGAATTCAATGACTGCTTATTAAATTGAGGTCTTTTGGCAGAAAAATCTGGGAGAATCATCAGGTCATGAACCCCAGAGCTCCAAATGGGATACTTCATAGAAAAGAAAAAATGGCAGCCCAGCTCTTCTCTAGGCTATGGAGAGTCTCTGATCCAACTCTGTTCCGAATGACCTTGGTCGCTGCTCTCATGGCTCCTGTTCTTGGTGAGTACTAGAGAGATAAGTTCAGATTGGCGACAAACATTCAAGATCATCCACTCATTCGCTCTTAACACTAACAGATGATTCAGCTTCTAGCAGAAAGCCACCTGCCACAACAAGGGTTGATTTGACCAGGAATTTGGAATTTGGAGTTAAAGGGGATTTGGAATTATTTGGGATTTAGGGGGAGTTTGTTTTATCCATAGAAGAGGCAGTTTTCTGGGCACATTCCCCTAGCATTTCTCCTCCAGGAATTTTCCAAAACAATTTGTCTCCCAAACATGACTTGAAACAAGTCAGTGTGATCTATCCGCCCGACTGAACAATTTTCACTGCATCTGGGTCTATCCAGAATAGAGAGGAGAAATAAGTATAGTCTTCTCTTAGGGCTACTGAAAGGTAAATTGGTCCCCTATTTAATTCTTGCAAAGAGAGCAGGATTAACATTTTTATGTTTCAAGCACTCCATGCTTCTTCCTTTGCATCATTCAAAATCCAACATGTGCAAAAAGGTGCAAATTAAGAATGTGGTTCTTATCCATCTCCCAGCCACCCGGGTTCCCTTTCCGGAGACAGGCAATCTTACATATGGTTTTATTGATGAAATACTATGTTTCTGTTGAGGAAAATTGTAGGAACTGCTGGCTTTGCTCAGATATCTCTGAGTCAGCAGATATGAGGAATCTGATAGGTGAATAAAATCACATCTGCCATCCTTCAGATGAATTATCTCATAAACAGTAGAAAGGGGATGAAAAATTTCTGCCTTTTATCATTTATCAGCAGATGTGTATCACTGATCACTCATTGGATTCGTTGAACAATGGGGACAATAAGAGTTATTATTTTTCTTGATTAGAGGAGAAAGGAATGGTCCTTGATCTAAAAATCATACTACTGAAACATTAAGATGCTGTGTTTCAGGCTATAACTTCTGGCGCTCTTTGTCATTTTGGTGTCCAGGAAGTTGTGGTCCCCCACCGAATTTATACTTTGCTTCTTTAACAACTGAGTTGAATGGGACATACTTCAACAGTGGAACTGTCCTGAAATACACATGCCGTCCTGGCTACAGTAAGGTTAATTTTTTAAGTCCGTTTGTTACCTGTCAACGTAACACATGGAGATACAATGAATTCTGTGTCAGTAAGTATGAACATTTATTTTTCTTATTTATGCTTTTCCCTTCTTTGCAAATTTGTCTCAGGAATTAAGTTTTCTGAGTACAAATGAGAATCTTTGGTCACTAAGAAACCATCCAGTTGCCAAGTCACCAATTTCAATGTACATACGTGTGCTACTTTTTGAAAAGCATAAACAAAAAAAAACAAATAAAACAGAAATTAGGAACTACCTGGTTGTAGTAAAAAATAAGCTTATCCTTTACCCTGTAATTCAGTAAACACTTCTTTCCTAAGTGAACTACAAATTCAATTTTAATATTTTGAAAACCAGATTCATTCTTTACAAAGTTATAAAGTATTATGTGGCTAGAGAGAGATAATGCAGTTTCCAAAGAAACCTCAACCAAAATATCTGCTGTGTTTGGAGGAAGATTCTGTGATTCACTTATAGTTGAGAATAAGTTCTGTGATGTTCTTCCAATAGTGAGGGTATCTATACTTTCTGTTGTCCCTTTTGTGACCAAGGACATGCATTTTTGAGTGGCCTGCATACAAAGTACGTGCCACAGAGCTAGAATGGAGCATAGCTCCCTGATCAATAACTATCCTGGACTACAGACTCCATGACCATAGTGATTTAACTGAGTATTTTTCTCTGTTGGTGAAATGTACCAGAAAATTATGAGATCAAATTTTGTATTCATTTATCCTCCAAAGTAAAAATTTAGTGAGTCAGGATCAGAAATATGTTTGGATCTCAACCTCTGGATCTTTCTGGAAGCATAGGTCAAAGCGAATCAATCAGTCTTCTAATGCCTTATCTGTGAGTAGTTGGAATCACTAATTATCTTTTTAATTTTTCTGTCAGAGAAACGATGCAGAAACCCAGGAGAATTAGAAAATGGGAGAGTGATAGCTAAGACAGATCATTTCTTTGGATCACACATAGAATTCGTTTGTTCAGAAGGGTGAGTGTGAAGCAATCTAGAAACAATTCTTTTAAATTAATTTTTAATAAATAGCTGATATATTTCAAAAGTAAAAATGATGTAAAACAATATGCACTGAGAATTCTCACTTCTACCTTCTTGCCATCCACCTCACTTCTTTGTGTGTGTCCTTAAACAGGGATCCACATTTATTGGTTTCTTAGGTATCTTTCTAGTGTTCACTTTACAAATACAAGCTAAAAATTAGTATATATTTTTATTTTACACCTTTCCAATAACAAATGTAGCTTTGAATCTTGCTTTATTTTTTACTCATCAATATATACAGAACATAGTTCCACGTTTGTGCATAGAAGTTCCTCATTGATTTGTCTTTACAACTTCATAGAATGTGATTGTGTGATGTATCATGGATTAACAATCTCTTTGATGTATCCATAGATATTTCCAATGTTTTGCTATTCTGAACAGTGCTCTGATGCATCACTTTGTACATATATAATTTTGTACAGATGTAATTATATCTGTAGGGTAAATTTCCAGAGTGGGATTTCTGTGTCAGAGTATACCTATTTGAAAATTTGAAAGATATTGCCTAATTGCTCTCCTTAGAGGTTACATGTTTTGCAGAGTATGTAAATGTCTGTCTCTTCATAGACTTTCCAACTGTGTTGTCAATCTTTTGAAAACTTGTGAAATTTTTGAAAATTTTCCAAGTTAAGAGGTAAAATTGAAATTTTACTATAGTTTCAATGTACATTTCTCTTATGAGTGAGATTGAGCATATCTTTATGTGTTCAAGAGATAGTTGTATTGATTTGTGAACTATTTGGCATATCCTTTGCCTATTTTTTAAAATTGATTCCTTGAAATTTGTATTCTTAATTTCTAGGATAAATACCTACATACATGAACATATATATGTTCATATATATATACACACTATATATAAATATATAGCATATACTTATAGAGGTTATTAAATATATCAAACCTACTCATAGAGGTTATTAAAATATCTTATAAAGCCTTGATAGTATGTCACTATGAAATGTGTATATGAATATGTAGGCAAAATAATGGCATTGAGTAGAAACACACGCAGATATAAGATACATATGAGAATTTAATATAGTGTTAAAAAACACTCTCAAATCAGTAAACTAAAGATGGACTTTTGGAATAACAGGAAAGTCAGGTGGGAAAATACAGCCTAGGATATATATCTTGCACTGTATATTGTATATTGCCTCCAAATGGATCAAAGCTTTAAACATTAAAAAAATATGAAAGCATAAAAGTAGCAGAAGAAATCTAGGCAAATAGTTTAAAATCTTGTATTGGAGAAGGGCTTTTAAATGAAGACCTAAAATCCAGAAGCCATTTTAAAAAGAGAGTTTGATAAATTTGAAGCATTAAAACAGTTTTTCCTTAAGAAGAAAAAATAGCCAAGTCAAAAGAAAAATAATATACTTGGGGGGAAAGTTGCAGCTCCTTTAAGAAACAAGGTCTAAATCCTAATATGCATAGGTTCGGGTGTATATATCGTGTGTGTGTAGGCCTCTGTTTATAGACTAGGTTGAACAAAAAGTAGCCATTGTGGAAAAGTAACAAAAATCTATGCAAGGCCGCAGGAAGATAAGAGTTATTTTGACGATGTCTGTTTGTACAGATCTCTCCTGGCTTCACCTCCCCATCTCTGGTGATAAGATTGTTCTTTTTCTCCTGTTATGGGGAAAGCATCTTTCACATGAGAGCTTTATCTCTTATAGAGTATATAAGTTTATATTCTCTATACTTAAGTTTACTGATTTGAGAGTGCTTTTTAACACTATATTAAATTCTCAGATGTATCTTGTATCTGCATATGTTTCTACTCGATGCCATTGTTTTGCCTACATATTCATATACATATTTCATAGTGACATACTATCAAGGCTTTATAATATATTTTAACAACCTCTATGAGTAGTCCTGCCTTATTGCTTTTTTAAAAAAATTTTTCCTGACATTACTTGTTTATTTTTCTATATAAAGTTGTTTTTTTTTTTTTTTAAGTTTAAAGTTAGGCATATTTTAAAATCAGTACTGGATTAGTATTTAACTTAATTTTTGAAGGAACTTTCCCCAAAACTTTTCTCTACCCTCTTAGGGTCTCTGACTGGCCTTGAGAATTAAATTGACATAAGGCAAATTAGCAGGAGAAGAGCATACAAATTTTATTTTTAGACGTCCATGGGAGCCTTCACAGGAAAATGCAGACCTAAAAAGTGGTTAGACCTCTGTTTACAGACTAGGTTGAACAAAAAGTAGCCATTGTGGAAAAGTAACAAAACTCTATGCAAGGCTGCAGGAGGATGAGAGTTATTTTGACAAGGTCTGTTTGTACAGATCTCTCCTGGCTTCACCTCCCCATCTCTGGTGGTAAGATTATTCTTTTTCTCCTGTTATGGGGAAAGCATCTTTCACATGAGAGTTTTATCTCCTGCTTTCAGGAAGAAAAGAGAAGTCAGAATGCCTTCCTTTGTCTATTTCAAGTGCCTTTAACTCAAAATAATCTTTAGTAATTTTACTCTCAGTTGTTTTGATACAGACCATTTACTTCAACATTTTGTTGCTATGTGCTGCTCTTTTAAAATGTAGATTAAATATTATTTTATTTCTGCAATACTTATTTGAAATACATTTTAAAATAGCTATTTTGTTCTGTTTTGTGTTCCTTCTTCAGGTTCTCCAACTAAGTATGTGTTGATTCTCCTTTGCTTGTCCCCTGTGTTTAACATTTTCCTCTAATGTTTCCTTTTGTTTGATTTCCGCACATGTATCCTTATTTATCCCTTATCGCGTATGGCTCCTAAGATGGAAAGCACAAAGATTCAGAAGGGAAGTGCTGTTGGAATGCTAAAGGGTTCCTACTGGAATAACTGGAAACCATATTTTCCCCTTGGTTTCCTGGGTAGCTTAGGAAACTTACATTTCCTAGAAATTTCTAAATAAAGAAATGTTTAATTCTCCTTGTCTTTTATCCTATTAAAAGATTCATTTTTCTTTGAGCTAGTATTAAATAAGTCCCAGGGGCTCTATTGCCGAAGCTAACATTTCCATTAGTGTTCAACCACAGTGTACATTTATTCCTTGATGATAGTACCATTTTAAGACATACTAACAATGCTTTTTCTTTCTGTTACCATAATACACAGAGGGCAGTAGGACAAACTAAAGAAAGCTTAGAACTTGTCAAGAGCCATAAAAAATGAGGATCGTGAACGGGGGAGTTAATGGTGTATTGGAGAGGGTAAGCACCCAAAAGTCAGAAGGGGGCTGCATATCAGAGGCCTGAGAGTTTGGGGCCAGCAACCTGGATGATACTGTCATCTAGACAAAATTGCAGAACACACTCAAATGAGTCTTTTACCCTACATTGTCCTGGTTGAGCTCTGGATGAATGCCATGCCCCATATAGTTGATGCCCAATAATAGATTGCAGAATAAAAGAACAAATGAACAAACACACACATCTCATTGCAGTGATGAAGTTTTACTGAATGGAAGGCTCAGTGGGAAGTGTTATCTGGAAAACATTATTTCTTCATTTTTGTTATTGAGTAACCAGTTTATTTGTTCAGACCCCTTTATCCAACTTAATTTAAGGTAAGAAGAATTTCATTAAACTCTTTAATCCTGTCTCATTCAGATATATTTTAATTGGCCCAGCCACTAGTAATTGTGAGATCCAAGATAAAGGAGTTGATTGGAGTGATCCTCTCCCACTATGTGTAAGTAAGTAAAGACTTTTTCTGGCTTGACTGCAAACCTAAACCATGCTAGAAAATAAAACTCTTGTGCAGCTTTGCTGCTTCTTGTACCCTCCATTAGAATTTGCATCATGAATGCTAGATTTGCAAAGGTACCTTCCCTGATTATTTCTTTTTCTTCACTCGCTCCCAGTTGCTAAATGCAAGCCTCCTCCAGACATCAGCAATGGGAGGCACAATGGTGGAGACGAAGATTTCTACACATATGGCTCTTCTGTCACCTACAGTTGTGACCCCAACTTCTCAATGATAGGCAAAGCCTCCATTTCTTGCACAGTGGAAAACAAGACAATAGGTGTCTGGAACCCAAGTCCTCCTACTTGTAAAAGTAAGTCACAGGGATGAATTTTGGTTTGAATGATTTGTTTAAAAGAAAAAGGTAGGTGAATTTGTTGCAGAAAGGGAATGATTCCAAGACCAACCACTGCAACAATGCATTTATTTGCTCAACCAATATTTATGTATAATGGCCCAGTGTGCAGTAACAAACAGAACCGACATCTCATTGGCTTTGCAAAGTAAAAGTTGATTTTCATTCATACAGAGTCTGCTGCAAGTTCAGGGGACTCTAGGTCAGCTGTAGTCTAGGTGTACATTTAGCAATAAGCCTAGCAATCTGGGTTGCTTTGATCTTGTGATACTTCTACATCCAAATGTCCTTTCAAAATCTGTTCAGTAGGTGAAGAGAGAAAAGCAAATTATGCCCTGGCTTTCGAAAAGAGCTTCAGTCTGAAGTGACCACATGTTGCTTTACAGCCTTTTGTCCCAAACTAGTAATGTGGAGACCCTACCTTGAGGGAACTGAGGAATATTGCCTTTTGTCTGTTCAGGGAGGACAAGTGGAAATATTGGTTAGCACTTACAATGTTCACCCCAAACGCCTACAGGACCGAGCAAAAAAACCCCCCAAAATCAGAAAATCTACTGTGTATTGTTAGTTGGCTAATCTGAGGGACCTTCCTTTGTGACTAAGTGCCTACACCGTATCACTTAGTTTTCTGACTCACCACAGAACACAGTCAAATCCGGGGATGAAAAAGCATAATCCCACAAGCAATTCAAAATGCCAGGAGTCCAGACAGCAAGAGGTGGAAATGGCAGAGACTGAGGACAGAAAGTCAGCAGAGCCAGATTACAAAGGGCCTCATGTGTCCCTCTGAGGAGTTCGGAGCGAAGGTGAAAGGGAAACACTGAAAGGCTTTAACCAGGGAAGTAAAAGTGTTGCATTTCAGAAAGACAAGTCTGGCTCCAGAAGGGACAACAAAGCAAGTGGGACAAAACTCAACCCATAGGCACCTGTTGCAACCATCCAGCCAAGTGGCAAAGGTAGCTTCAGCCATAGCCATGAGTCATCAAGGTGGCAGGACTGACATGGGGGCAGGATGACTGACTCTGTGGGGTTGGGGTGGTGGGGGCAGTTTGTTCTTTGTGAGAGCACAGATCTCTGATGCCTGGCTGCCTCTTCCTCATGACCACCGTATCATTACCGTTGGCCACTGACCCGTACCGAAATCATGCAGAAAAGTAGGCCACCGTCAGGGGAGGATTATGGAGCCATTGAGGGATGTGTTATAGATGGCTGGTTTTGCTTGAGTTATAGATGGCTGGTTTTTCTTGAGTAAGGTGGAGTTATTCACAGTTATATCATAACAGAACCGATAGGATGGGACCTCCTCTTACTGAGGCTTTTTAAAGTTGAAATTATATTCACTTTAAAATGTTTTCCTTGCATCTGCTTGATGTACACTGTATCAGGCTTTTGTGTCATAGTTGAAACTGGATTAGCAATAGCAAGTAATATCCTCATTGCCATTTCTCTTTTACAACTCACTTGTCTTTTCTTGTGATTCTTTAGAAATCATCTGTCCAAAACCAGAGGTTAAAAATGGAAACGTAATCTCTGGATTTAGAACCATCTATACTTACAAAAACTCCATGGTATTTGACTGCGAGGAAGGTTTTATTCTCAAAGGAAGCAGTTTAATCCATTGTGGAGAAAATAATGACTGGGATCCTCCTCCTCCCATCTGTGAGCTCAGTAAGTATGGACCATGAAGGAAGTTCAATGTTTGGCATCTAAATTACCCAGAAATGTTGGTGGGGGCATATTTGTATGCCTAAACCCACTTGAACTGCAGTAAAAATTTAAATTTAGATCAATAATTGTCTTTATTTTTTCTAGTTGTTGGAAAAAAAAAGATTACAGTACACTAGGCAAGGTCTTATATAATCACAAAAGGTTGCCATATACAGTTGTGCAGGTCGTGAACACTTCAACCCTAAAGGGAGACATTAACATTGTAGACATTGTGGATTAGTGTATTTATTTCAACAATTTTCTTGCAGTTAGTAGGAAACTTGTTTTGTTCTAACAAAATCATTACGTTATGATAATTGACTTGAAAGATAAATAGTAAAGTGTCCTGTAGGGGCAGGAATGCCTTTTTCCAACTTCCACAAAAATATTATACAGACTAACTATGATTCTGACACTCTAAAACTATAAACTCATGTGGATCATGAAAAATTATGTTCATAATAATATTGAGAACTTGGTGCTAGTTTGTTTTCTGATGTGGCTGATGCATCAGCCATGGCAAGACCATTCCTGGCTGATGCATGGCATCCTCTGATAGGACAGGCTTGTTGATGATCACTGTTGCATCCCTAGTACCAGTGTCTTTTCCTCTTGTTCTCCCTTTATGAGCAGATAGTTGTACTGACTTACCAAGCATCCCAAATGCCTACTGGGAAAGATACAACAACCACGTGCCGACAAAAGAGCGAATATATAATATTGGAACTGTGTTGAGATACAGGTGTTATACTGGTTATGAACCTGCTTTGGATGGGTCTACCACTGTGACTTGTCAGAGAAATCTGACTTGGACCCCACACATAGGATGTAAGGGTGAGTCTCTGTTTTTTAAATCTTTTTGTAGATTAGATGCCCAGCATGTGCTAGGCTTTTTTTTTTTTTTTCTTAAAATGAATGCAGTTTTATCTTTCAAGATAAATTTAGGATTATAATAATTCAACAGAGGAGTTAAGTATTGTTGTCAGAAGGAATCATGGAAATCTTGGAGGAACTGAGAAACTATGACTATAACTATAACTTTCCTTATCCCATTTCAAAATCAAATGAGACGTGGACACAGAAGGGACACAGAAGTGAAGCCTTAGTCAGATTGAGTATTAGCCTCATCACTGGTGAAAGTAGCATGGAGAATACGGCTCAACATTTACCAGAGTCAGACCTCTGTCACAGCCCTTTCCTCCCCAGTGTCGACTTTGGGGTGCTTAGTAGAAGGAAAGTCTGTGAAACAGTCATGAACTCAACCAGCTGCAAAGTGACTTGTGTCTCATGTCTTTGAGCCAAGGGACTGCGGGCTGCAGGAGCTGGGTCTTGTGACCTGCCCCTAGAAGACAGACCCTGACCCCTGACCCAGTACTCTGGCCTCAGAGGGATAAAAAGGAGACTTTCTGCAATCTCAAGATGTCTTTTCTCTTTGAGAGAACGTGAGGAGCTGAGAGACAAGCAGATGCAGTTTTATGGGCTTCAGTGGAATTGACAACAGAGAGAGAAAATGTTTCCTTGTGCACATCAGAATCTTGCCATTTTAGAGGTGAAGACACAGAGGCCCAGGATATAGGGAACTTTATTCTACACATTGGAACTGGAAAAATGTGTAAAATGAACAAGGAATGAAAAATGGTAGTTTAGATCTACCAATTGGAAGATCATTCATTTCACATTAGGACTTCAAGTTTAATTACAGTTATTTAGACTCATTTGGGGGCAATAAAATGAAAAGTTTTAACAAAATTACCAAATTAAAATATATTTAACAATGATGATCACCACTTAAATAACAAAGTATTGGTAAATACAAGCCTTTGAGGATTCTCCTTGATGAATACGAAATAGTGACTTGTAATTAATACACTAAATCTTTCTATATAAATGTTTATTTATACATGTCTAAAAACCAACTTCTATTTTTCTCCATCCTTTTCTTCTTTGTCTTATTATTGAGGTATAGTCAACACACAATGTTATATTAGTTTCAGGTGTACAATATAATTCAACAATTCTGTGCATTACTCAGTGCCCACCACAAGAAGTATAGTCACCATCTGCCACCATATATTATTACATTATTGTGACTATATTCCCTATGCTGTACTTTTAATCTCTGTGACTTATTTATTTTATAACTTGAAGTTTGTACCTCTTAATCCCCTTCACCTATTTCATCCATCCTCCAGTTTCCTCCCCTCTGGTAACCACCAGTTTGTTCTCTGCATTTAAAAGTCTGTTTGTTTATTTGTTTGGTTTGGTTTGGTTTTTAGATTCCACATATAAGTGAAACCATATAGTATTTGTCTTTCTCTGTCTGACTTAGCCATCATGGGCCTTCTGGGCCCACCATGTGTCACAAATGGCAAGATCATTATTTTTTCTGACTAATATTCAAATGTGGGTGTATGTATGTGTGTGTGTATATATATATATGTATATATACATATATATGTATATATACATATATACATATGTATACATTATACATATATATATATATACAAACACACACATATATATACCACATCTTCTTTATCCATTCATCTATCTATGGACACTTGGGTTATCACATATCTTAGATGCACCAATTTACATTCCCACTGGTAGAGCACAAGGATTCCCTTTCTACTGCATCCTTGTCAACACGTGCTATTTCTCTTCTTTTTGACATTAGCCATTTTGACAGGTGTGAGGTGATATCTCATTGTGGTTTTGATTTGCATTTCCCTGATGGTGAGTGATGTTGAGCATCTTTTCATGTGTCTGTTGGCCACCTGTATGTTTTCTTTTTTCTTTCTTTTTTTATTATGTTATGTTAATCACCATACATCATTAGTTTTTGATGTAGTGATCCATGATTCACTGTTTACATATAACACCCAGTGCTCCATGCAGAACATGCCCTCTTTAATACCCATCACCAGACTAACCCATCCCCCCACCCCCCCCAGAACCCTTAGTTTGTTTCTCAGAGTCCACAGTCTCTCATGGTTCATCTCCCCCTCTGATTTACCCCCCTTCATTTTTCCCTTCCTGCTATCTTTTTTTTTTTTAAACATATAATGTATTATTTGTTTCAGAGGTACAGGTCTGTTTTCTTTAGAAAAGAGTCTCTTCAGGTACTCTGCCCATTCTTTAATCAGATTACTTGATTTTTCAGTGTTGACTTTGATAAGTTCTTTATATATTTTGGATATTCACCCTTTATGGAATATATTGTTTACAGATATCTTCTCCCATTCAGTAGGTTGCCTTTTTGTTTTGTTGATGGTTTTCTTCACTGTGCAAAAGTGTTTTATTTTGGTGTAATCCCAATAGTTTATTTTTGCTTTTGCTTCCCTTGCCTGAGGAAACAGATCCATAAAAATGCTAATGTCCGAGAGATTACTGCCTATGTTTTCTTTTAGGAGTTTTATGGCTTCAGGTCTCACATTTAGGTTTTTAGTCCATTTTGAGTTTATTTTTGTGTATGGTGTAAGAAAGTGGTCCAGTTTCATTCTTTTGCACATAGCTGCCTAGTTTTTTCAATACCATTTATTGAAAAGACTGTGTTTTCCCCATTGTATGTTCTTGCCTCCTTTGTCATAGATTACTTGACTATATAAGCATGGCTTTATTTTGGGGCTCACTATTCTGTTCTATTGATCTATGAGTCTATTTTTGTGCTAGTACCATACTGTTATTTTTATTATTATGTTATGTTAATCACCATACATTACATCATTAGTTTTTGATGTAGTGTTCCATGATTCATTGTTTGCATATAACACCCAGTGCTCCATGCAGAACGTGCCCTCCTTAATACCCATCACCAGGCTAACCCATCCTCCCACTCCCCTCCCCTCTAGAACCCTCAGTTTGTTTTTCAGAGTCCAACGTCTCTCATGGTTCGTCTCCCCCTCCGATTTCCCCCCTTCATTCTTCCCCTCCTGCTATCTTTTTCTTCTTTTTTTTTTTAACATATATTGTATTATTTGTTTCAGAGATACAGATCTGTGATTCAACAGTCTTGCACAATTCACAGCACTCACCACAGCACATACCCTCCCCAGTGTCTATCACCCAGCCACCCCATCCCTCCCAACCCCCACCACTCCAGCAACCTTCAGTTTGTTTCCTGAGATTAAGAATTCCTCATATCAGTGAGATCATATGATACATGTCTTTCTCTGATTGACTTATTTCGCTCAGCATAACACCCTCCAGTTCCATCCATGTCATTGCAAATGGCAAGATCTCATTCTTTTTGATGGCTGCATAATATTCCATTGTATATATCTACCACATCTTCTTTATCCATTCCTCTGTCGATGGATATCTTGGCTCTTTCCACAGTTTGGCTATTATGGACATTGCTGCTATAAACATCGGGGTGCACGTACCCCTTCAGATTCCTACATTTGTATCTTTGGGTGAAATACCCAGTAGTACAATTGCTGGGTCGTAGGGTAGCTCTATTTTCAACTTTTTGAGGAACCCCATACTGTTTTGCAGAGTGGCTGCACCAGCTTGCATTCCCACCAACAGTGTAGGAGGGTTCCCCTTTCTCCACACCCCCGCCAACGTCTGTCGTTTCCTGACTTGTTAATTTTAGCCATTCTGACTGGTGCGAGGTGATATCTCATTGAGGTTTTGATTTGAATCTCCCTGATGCCAAGCGATGTTGAGCACTTTTTCATGTGTCTGTTGGTCATTTGGATGTCTTCTTTGGAAAAACGTCTGTTCAAGTACCATACTGTTTTAATTACTATAGCTTTGTAGTATGTCTTAAAATCTGGGATTGTGATACTTCCAGCTTTGTTCTTTCTAAGAATTGCTTTGGCTATTAGAGGTCTTTGTGGTTCCACATGATTATTTGTTCTAATTCTGTGAAAAATGCTATTGGCATTTTGATAGGGATTGCATTAAATGTGTAGATTGTTTTGGGTAGTATAGACATTTCATAATATTAATTCTTCCAATCTATGAGCATGGTATATCTCTCCTTTTTTTTGTGTCATCTTCAATTTCTTTCATCAATATCTTATAGTTTTCAGAGAGGAGGTCCTTTACTTCCTTGGTTAAATTTATATTTTATTCTTCTTGGTATAATTGTAAATGGGGTTCTTTTCTTAATTTCTCTTTCTGCTACTTGTACAATATATAAGTATATTGTTTATATTGTATATATATACACAATAGATTTCTATATATTAATTAATATTATATATAATCTATATAATATTATATATTAATTTTATATCCTGCAGTGGTTCTGAATTTACTAGTTCTAATAGTTTTTTGGTGGAGTCTTTAGGGTTTTATATATATAGTATCATGTCATCTGCAAATAGTGACAATTTTACTTCTTCCTTACCAGTTTGAATCCCTTCTATTTCTTTTTCTTGTCTGATTGCTACAGCTAGGACTTCGAGTACTGTGTTGAATAAAAGTGGCAATAGTGGGCATCTTTGGTTCTGATCTTAGAGGAAAAGATTTCAGTTTTTCACAATTGACTAAGATGTTAGCTATGGGTTTTTCGTATGTGGCCTTTATCATGTTAAGTTATGGTTCCTCTACACCCACTTTGTTGAGACATTTTGTCATGAACGGATGTCATATTTTGTCAAATGCTTTTTCTGCATCTTTTGAAATGATCATATGTTTTTAAAATTTTTTCCTTTTGTTAATTTGATGTATTACATTCACTGATTTGCAAATATTGAACCGTACTTCCATCCCTGGTAAGTATCCCACTTGACTGAATGGTCCTTTTAATGTATTGTTGCATTCGATTAGCTAATATTTGGCTGAGGATTTTTGCATCTTTGTTCATCAGGAATATTGCCTACAGTTTTCTTTTGTGTGGGTTTTTGTCTGGTTTTGGTATCAAGCTAGTACTGACCTTGTAGAATGAATTTGGAAGTTTTCCTTCCTCTCCTACTTTTGGAACAATTTGAGAGGAATAGGTATTAACTCCTCTTAAATGTTTGGTAGAATTCACCTGTGAATAGTGAAGCCATTTGGCCCTAGACTTTTGTTTGTTGGGAATTTTTTTTTTTTTTTAAGATTTTATTTATTTATTTGACAGGGAGAGACACAGCGAGAGAGGGAACACAAGCAGGGGGAATGGGAGAGGGAGAAGCAGGCTTCCCGTAGAGCAGGGAGCCCGATGCGGGGCTCGATCCCAGGACCCAGGGATCATGACCTGAGCCGAAGGCAGACGCTTAACGACTGAGCCACTCAGGTGCCCCAGGAATTTAAAAACCTACTTTAAAATTATATTTTTGTTACCCACTATAGTTGTATTGATTTAATTATTTAATAAAGATATATTTAACATTTAAAAAACAGAAGTGAAATGATATTTATCCTAGTTATCAGAAAATCTAATACAGTGTGGATTTGGACTATGACTTAAATAGTATGATTTAAGTGCTTTCTATAGTATTACATAAATATTAATATTATAATTTAGAAACATGAATGTTGGGTATTTTTATTGTAATTCATAAATAAGTGAGTAGTGAGAGTGTTTAGGTATGCCTAAAAAACCATTGTAGTGCTAGTCAAGCTCCTGATGTGAAGAATAGGGCATTTTAATCTGCTCTGATATTTTCTCTTATATCAAGCAATATCAAGTTCTACCTGAAAGTATTTCTACTAATGAATAAAAAATATCTTTTTATCAGCTCTTACTGCATTAAAAATGAAAGAATTTGAGTAGCTATTTCTCTTAAATGTGGCATCAAAAAAGATCCTGGCCATATGCAGTAATTTAAATTTATTTCTGTGCGTTAGCTGTCAGATGGATATAAACTTTTGAGGACATTTTTCCTTTTGTGACTAAGGAAGTGTAAGGTATTAGAGAGGTTAATAATGATGTAACCCTAATGAAATCATAAGCAATGGATGTTATTTGTCATTGCTTTTGAATGCTTCTGAAAATTTACATTTTCAGGCAGGTTTCATCCAGTGTCTCATTTTGGAGGCTCCTAATGAAATCATTTAGTTGAAGGGAAATGACTAGGTTGGAGTACTTTAGCAATCAGGGACAGGGAGAGCAGACCCAGAATGTCCTTTTTCTGTTTCCCCAGTCTCTCTTCAGTGGTGAAATCTTCGAAAGCAGAAATGAATTTATTATCCATAGGCGCCTCATTGCAGTGATTTTACTAACCATTCACCTCACTCTCTATTTTTCAGAGATGTGTTGCCCAATACCAGACCTGGAGAATGGTGAAATCATTTCAAAAAGCACTAGATCTGTGAATAGCTGTGTTTATTTCTACAGAGACACAGTTTTTTATATGTGTTATAAGAAATATCAGTTTGAAGCTAGGTGCCAAGAAGATGGCACGTGGAATCCCAAAACACCAACATGTGATGAGAGTAAGAGCTTATGGAATTTTATGTTCTTTTTTCTTTTTTCTTTTCTTTTTTTAAATTTACATTCAGGTTAGTTAACATATACTGTATTATTAGTTCTGGGGTAGAATTTAGTGATTCATTAGTTGCATATGATACCCAGTGCTCATTATATCAAGTGCCCTTTTAGTGCCCATCACCCAGTTACCCCATCCCCCCACACCCCTCCCCTCCAGCAACCCTCAGTTTGTTTGATGTTTCTTCATATCAAAGTGATGGAGATTATTAAGGGAAGGTTTCAAATTAGGAAGAATTTGTATACCCTTCATGATTTTTGGAGTGGATAAATTTGTTAAAAAGCATTGTCCACCCCCGCAGTCCAACTTTCTTTTCCTTCCTCATTGTTTATTCCCATTCTCTTGACCTTCCTGCTTTTCTTTTCTTTTCTGAAATCAGTAAAAATAGGCCACATCTAATAGATCAGCTGAACTTATCAATTATTGTCTTCTGTTTCTTGGTATTTATTGTCTTTTCTTCTCTTCTTTCTGTCCATATGCTTTTATCTGCATTTCAAGACCCACCCAAATCTATTTGAACCCATCTTTCTAAACTTGCTTCCTTTCTTCCTCAAACTTCCTCCCTTCCTTCTGCTGTCTCTAAGTTTTCCTTCAGACTATCCCCCAGTATGAAATGCCTAACTCTCCCTCACCAAGAGCACTTAAGTGCTAAATACAATCCTACTTCTCCCATTGTTTTTCCATCGTCCTATCTAGTGATGATCAAGAACAATTACCCCTGGATAGTGATGCTTCTTCTTGCCTTGTGTGTAAGAAGGAGCCCAAAGGAGCCCTAACGTGGTTCAGAGTCCTGTGTTCCAGAAGATATTGTAAAGTAATATTGTGAAGTGTTATCACTGTAAAATATTGCCTCTCAACTGGCACTTCAGCTGTGCCTTTAACAGGCCATTCCAATGTCCAAACAGGCCTACGGGTTCTGGATGATGCAGTCTGTAATGTGAGTGGTACATTCCATGGCCACGGTCTTAGTACTACACCTCTTTTGCTATGAGTGGGTTTTCTAGTTGCGCATAGTGTAATTCTATGCCAATTATTTAAACACCCTATAGTCTTCAGATAACAGTGCTGACTGAAGTCCCACAAGCAGAAAAGGCAAACCCATACCTGGAATACTTGTGTATTTCTGTCAAAATACCTATTTGTCCCTTCCAGGTAGAAGGGATGTAATATAGTCAACTGGCTACCAAGTGGCTTTGTGGTTATCTCAAGGGATGGTATCATATTAGGGACTTAGCATTGTGGCTGGCAGTTTGAAGATTCAGTGACAGCCTCGGTAAGTGGGAGTCCATGTTGTTGTGCCCACCATGCTTGTTCTTCATCCATACCACCACTTTCCTCCTCTTCCTCTTGTGACAGCACTAGTCGGGCCAATGACAGAAGATGGCTGACTTCAACTGGCTGAGACATTGTTTTCTATTTGATTTTTTAATGCCTACTCTACTGGGGATGCTCTGCTGGTGTTAACACACAAAATAAAAACTTTGCACTTCCTGTCATTCCCATACGTCCAGTCACCTGCTTCTACCTACTGCAGATCTCCTTGGGCCCAATCTTCCAATCTTTGTCCTTAAGGATGCTGACAAATAAGCCATTCATTCTGGGCCATTCCAGGCTAATTTAATCTATCCTTAGCCCATTTCTTTTTCCAAAAAAGTGAATGGCAAGATTACCTAAGATTTTTCCTTACTACTCTCTTTCCCTGATCAGGCTCTAATGCAGCTTCCGTCCATTTTAGCTTGCACACACGTACCCAAAATACACATCTGTGAATGAGGCTTGGCTTCCCTCTGTTCTGTCAGTTGGTTATAATGGATACTCCACATAGCCGTAAGCATGAGCTAAAGAGACACTTGTGCAACAGTGGATGGGCACAAGTAGGATTTAGGCTCCCTATTTGTGCAGGCTGCTTGTGCATGTTCAATCCCAGATGACAACTTCCATTTTATAATGAATTGTTTGTTGCCTGCCTGGCCGTATAACTTGGTTCTGATAGACCAAGATCATGATTTTTGGCACATGCTCACTTCATGACCCAATATCAGGTACAGTTTCTATCAGGACCAAACAACATGTCAAGAGTTATATCTCAAACAGCACATAATTCTCTGCAGCAGTGCCTGACCTTGCTTCAGGATCTCAAGGGTATATGCTGTGATAGTCCCATTGATATTTGCACGCTTTCTGACTATAGCCACCTTCAATATACTAAGCTCTGCTGCGTCCTAAGTTTCAAGCAACAGGACAATTTCACTGCAACTGGACTTGCTGCCGAGGCTTTTCCCAACATGGGCCCCACTCAAACCCAGCTATCTCTTATGTCATCTAGCATATGGGCTGGAATAGTATTCCCAAGTATGGAATGTACTGCCTCTAGAGTCTAGAAAGTTCTACTTGGTGTTATGCACCATTTTTTGTGGTGTGTTGTGCATATCCCATTAGTTTAGATGGGATAGCCTAACAAGCCCTGAACCCTGGACCTCTGAAGATTGTATTGATATGGCAAACCCTTGAATCTTTACATTCTATATCTGGGCATCAGTATGGGAGTTGGAAAAACCCAGTCTTCCCCTTCACTTCCTGTGTTTCTCTTGTATGTCTCTTTTACTGCTCACACGGAACACTCACAACATTTCAGGTGACCAAGTGTATGCGTTTTTGTTTTTTTTTTTCTTCTTCTTCCAACAAAGAATTCTCTGCAACACCAGCTGGGTGTCCTATAATTTGCCACAGTTCCAGCACTATCTACCTGAAGAGAGTGGCAGATTCCACAGGGTAAAGGCTCAGTCTCATGAAGCTGCCCCCCACATTAGATGCCAATTGTGGTAGTAGGTCCTCGGGCTGCTGCCAAAGTCTGTTCAACTTGGCTACAAATTGGAGGTTCCCATGATCTCCTTGTGGAGTTCCATTAATTTGCTAGAAGGGCTCACAGAACTCAGGGACACTAACTTATATTTACCAGTTTATTAAAGGATATGATGAAGGACACAAATGAAGAGATACATAAGGTGAAGTCTGGGAGGGTCCCAAGCACAGGAGCCTCTGTACCTGTGGATTTGGGGTACATCATCCTCCAGTACGTGGATGTGTTCACCCACCTGGCAACTCCCTGAACAATATACTACTGAGATTTTATGAAGGCTCGCTCATTATAGGCATGCTCAATTACTAACACTGTTTCCTACTTCTCTCCTCTCTTTGAAGAGGAGAGCAGGCCTGAAAATTTCTAAGCTTCTAAGTTTTGCATCATGACTCGATCTTTCTGGTGACCAACTCTAATCCAGGAGCCACTGAGAATTGCCTCAGTAGAACAAAAGATGTTCTTAGTGTTCTAGGCACTTAGGAATTTACAAGGGTTTAGGAGATCTACGCCAGAAACCCAGATGGATTATCTATCTATCATCTATCTATCTATATCAACATGCTAGTTTCTTCTTGCTCATTCAGTAGAATTAACATGAGGCCATTGACATACTGGATCAGTGTGGGTGTCCAGATAATCATTGTATCATCAGACTCTATTATGACAGGGGCAAGTGAGTTATCATACCCCAGGGCTAAAACTACAAATGTGTGATTTTATCCTTCTGTGTATGCAAACTTTCTGACCCTCTTTTGTGATAGGGATGAGAAGAAGGCATCTGCTAAACCAGTGGCCCCCACTTACCTGAAGATACAAAAATCTACTCTAGCAAAGACACCACATCTGAAATGAGAACTAAAATGTTGAATTTTCCATAGTCGACTGTCATTCCCCAGAATCCTAACTTCTCTTGTAGACAGACTGGGGAAGTAAATGGCAGTATAATGGAGAGGCAGCTGTAGTTCTGTAAGAGTGGCACAATGCCACCATTTCCCCTGCCACTTTGGTATATGATGTAGTTTTTCATATGCTGTCTTTGCTTCAAGGGGGATGGGGAGAGGCAGAATCAATGGCTTCTACTCGACTTCTTGGATATGACAGGTTTTACCCCGTAGGCCAAGAACTCAATGTGGGGGTTGAACAAAGTATTAATTTTATCCATTCCCCTTATCCTTTTGAAGATATTAGAGATGACCACCAAGTGGTCTAATGATGGGGCCATGATGGTTCCTCAGCATGAGGCTTACAGGAGGGCAGTGCAGGTCTTGGGTTTGGCTAAGTGATCCTCTGAGCAGAGAAGATGACAGGACAGAATGGAGCCTCCTACAAAACACACAGATTCAGGGATGAGTTATTTTTTTACATTCTACAAGCTCATGCTCTCTCACTTTTATCTCTCACCATCAAGATTGTGATTTTCCTCCTGATGTTGCCCACGGACATTATGAAGAAGTTAAAGGATTCCGTGTATTCATACAAAATGAAGTGATATATAAATGTGACAAAGGATACACTCTGGTTGGAGAGGCCAAACTCACTTGCAGTTCTTCACGTTGGACACCTGCAGTCCCTCAGTGTAAAGGTAACTCCAACTCCCTTTTCAGTCAGGTGGGTGGAAATGTCACAAAAGCACGGAAGCATTTGATTTGATTTGATTTATTTGAAATCATGACTATATTCAGGATGCAAACAGCACAAGGGGAATACATAAACATCCACCTCCCTTCTTCTTTCTCCCAGTCATAAAATTCAACCCCTATGCCCACTTTCCTGTATATTTCCAGAAAAATTCTGCAAGTGGCCATTTCATTTACGGCCTGTAGCAAAATTTTCATGCAAGCTTGCTTTAGCATGAATGTGGGCTCTTAAGGGCTAATTCCAAACCTCACAAAGTGGCAGATACTTCCATCACAGCCTCGTGCAAGGCACCACTTACCCATGCTACAGGCCGGGGAAGGGGGGGCTCCTGTTTTGTGGGGACAGGACAAGTCAAGGTCAGGTCTGACTTTTACAGGCACACAGGTTAATAGCATTTTGCCATCAGCAACTCCGGGGATTATTTGCCACCATAGTCTCTATTACATACAGGAGCCAGTCGGCAGGAGGGAACATTTCACAGCTAGTGTCTTGCTGGGATCAAGAGATGAGGGAGACTTGCTTTGAAAGCGAAGAACCTGGGATCACATGCCTTTTTTATACCCTATCATGTTCTTCAAAAGTATGAAGACCTAGGACAAGTTTCTTAACCTGTCTGTATCTCAAATTTCTCCTAGAAAAATGGGAGTGATAACTAACAGTCATTACCTCACACAGCTGAATCACATAAAATGCTTAGCCTGAATCTGATATATAATTGTGGCCAATGCTCAACCAAAATGCTAACAAATATTACTGTTACAAAAACAAAACAAAAGATAAAACAATTAGCAGCACCTATGATAGTTAATTCTTATAATCCTAGCCTGTTGTCATGTCTTTTTCCTTAGATTTCCATATTGCTTAAAACTGTGTTTCCATTGTAGCTCTGTGTCCAAAACCAGAAATAGCCCATGCAAAGCTGTCCATGGATGAGGATCAATATCTTCAAACTGCAAATGTTACCATCCAGTGTGACTCTGGCTATAAATTGGATGGTCCCCAAAATATCACTTGCTTAGAGAACAGAACCTGGTACCCTGGGGTGCCCAAGTGCGAGTGGGTAAGTGGCATGATTCAAGAAAAGCTCCTGTGCTAGCCAACCCTAAAAATGGACCTCCCCCAAGCACTGTCCCAGCTTGCAGTGGTGCGATCTGACTTGTCAGGAGTCATTTCTGAGTCCTTCAAAGGAATTCTCTTCTTTCTTGAAGTACTGTGGTCAGGTAGGAGTCACAAGCTCTCCTCTCTCACTGGAGAACAAGGAATAATCGAGCCCCTTAGGGAAAAGAGGGACTCAGATACCTGGGACATTTTCTAGACTATATAATATACTATGTTCCATTTCTGGATGGTCTCAGAAACAGCCTCTCTCCTCACAGAAGCCCTCTGTGAAGCTGTCTCAGAACAGGTCCTTATCCCTCTGGGAAGGACTACGGTGGGACCCAAGGTGTTTTCTGGTTTTCCTGCTCACCAGGCAGTCCTGTGCTTGGTCTTGGCTTTGAGCTGTAGTCCTGTCATTGTCAGGAGGTCCTCCTCCCCCTCCAACCCTGTCCTTCTTGATTTGGAGAGAAGCCACTCAACCACACCCAGCATCTACATCTCTTTCAGGTGGTCCCTGAAGGCTGTGAACATGTCCACAAAGGCAGAAAGGTCATGCAGTGTCTCCCCAACCCAGCAGATGTGAAAATGGCCATGGAGCTGTATAAATTGTCTTTGGAGATTGAACTACTGGAACTACAGAGAGACAAGGCAAAGAAATATACTATGGAGTCATCACTGTAATTTCTCCCAAAAGAGGGAGAAAAATGTGCCGCTTTCAATACAATACAGATCACTTCAGCTTACCAACTCTGCTGTCCCCTTTGCACCATCATTCATGGTAATAAATGTCTAGAAAGGATAATTTGTTCACATTTAGTGCTTTGTGACTGTAGAATTATTGATTATCTTGTCGCTGATGGTTTTGCTTTTCTGGACACAAAGTGTACATTTTTTTTTTCAAGTAAAAATGTATGTATCAAAAACGATTTTGTCTTTGTGGTCTGTCCTTAATGAGGTACCTAAACATACCCATTACACAAAGTTAGTACATTTCCTTTACTGTAAGGGCCTTGGACATGGACGTGGGCTCACAGCAAAGCATTTCCCTGGATTGCCTCACTGCACATGTCCACTTGTGCAAATCCCTCAGGTCCTCAGTAGTTAGACTAAATGTCAACACACCCCCAAATCCTGGTCCATTCTCCCCATTTGAAGGGAGTCCTGCCCTTTACCCAACCCCCGTGCACTGGCCCTCTCCCTCACTAATGCTACCTCTGGACTTCTGCTTGACAGGAAAGGGATTAGTGTTTGCGTCTGGACCTCCTTCTTCCTTCTTCCATTTTGAGAAAACAAACTCTGATAGACTGATGAATGAGGCCCACATGGCGGCCACCTGTGTGTTCCCATGTCCTCCATCTGAAAAGTGAAATGGCCTGAGCAAGTATCCCCCACATGAGGAGAAACCTCCATCAATCACCCGTGTATCTTGGTGTATCCTGGACACTGTTGTTCCTTCTACTCACCACCCCCTCCAAGACCTGCATCCTCTGAAATCTCTCATTCATGTCCCAGCCCCTTTGCTCGTCTCTTCTCTCTTTGTTCATGCCTCTATGGGGGAACGCCAGCCTCTTTTGTTCTTATTTCACCAAATATACTCTGCAGAGGCACTGGGGCCTCATAGGTTTTCAGTGGACTTTCGATGTAACAGAGGGGCTGGAACTGTTAGAGAAACCGACCTAACATGGAAGGTAACTATTGATGGTCCTTAAAGCCATTTGCCTGCACCTGCTTCTAGGAAATCGGTAGATCTTTATTTCGGGTTTCCCCTTAGACAAGGATTTGTGGGTTACTAGTTTCCTTGGAGAGTGGCCCAGAAAGCAGCAAGTGGGTAGTGAGATGATCAGATGAGAAAGGGAGGACGGCTGAAGGAAGGAGCTTGAATGGGGTGGTTACTGGGGTTGCTAACAGGTGCTCAGTTATGCCGACTGTGCTCTGAGAGCATGTGGGACACGATTCTGAGTAGTCTTTCCAGGTGAGCACCTGGGGCATTTATCCACCAGTTCCCTCCTCTCATCGCTGAAGACTTGCTCCAACAGTGTTGACGGCCGGCATCGTGGGCCCACTGAATGGGCTCCCGAGGACGGGGTCACCGTCAGGGAGGGCGCTGTGGCAGTGCCTGCATCAGCCTCCAGTTAGGGATGTTGGCCACAGCACAGCTGGTCTCTTCCGCAGTTCCCTTTTCTCCGTGGCTCTCTTCGGACATCTGTTCTGGTCTCTCTCTCACTCTCTCTCTCTCTCTCTACTCAGCCTCCCCCTTCATCAGACCTCTGCATTCTTTGCTATTAATTGGCTCCAACAGAATTCTTTCCATTTTCTTAGAGAGTCATTTAACTTTCCACCTACCATTGGACTCTGGGCTTATAGAGGTCTTTTGTTATGTGCAGTCTCACCAATCAAATATTTACTAAACCTGCCTGAAAAACAACTTGATTAAAATTTACAAATAAGTTAAAAATCCATTATGGTGAATATTGAGTTTTCCCTGCCGGTTCAGGGCATGAGGATGTGCCGTGAGCCCCTGGGGTGCCTCAGACATTTTCTCAGGAGGAGAAAATCTGCTACTTGTCGTTTAAATTCATGTGCATTTTAAATATCATTTCCCACTTTATTTACTGAAAATCTGATCCATGAAAGTAGAGAAGACTGTTAAGGTTGTAGGTGAGACTAAAAGGCACAGAAAAGCCTTATCAGAAGAATTTATAAGAGAGGAATTTGTTCAATCTGATGCTCACTGATGCTTGGAGGAAGAGGAAGGGTAAGAGCCTGAATAATTTTATACCAAACATTAAAAATAAATTTTAGAACATACAGAAAAATAATTGCCTTTGCCTTATCAGGAGGTGGGCAGAGGTATCACAAAAAAACCAAAATGAAAACAAAACTCAATTACCTCCACAGTCTCACATTAGCAGGAGCTTTATAATTGTAAGCAAAGGAAACCCAAACAGATGTCCATTTTATTTTATTTTATTTTTATTTTTATTTTACATATCACTCTTTATTTTGATAGCATCACTAGAAATTCCCACTAACAAAAGTAGTTGCCCATATTGGATGTCAGGCATGGATTTCAGCCCCTCAAGACAGATTTTTCTCACTTAATCCTTGTAATGATCCTAAGAGGTTAGAATGATTAGTCCCCTGAAACTGATGAGGGAACTGAGGTTCAGGGGGTTAGTGAGATGCACAATGTAGGGGGGTGGGGCAGGACATTAATGCCAGAATCTATTTCTTTTCTTTTCTTTTTTTTTTTGAGTTTTAGGCTCTTTTAATTGTTTGATTTTTTTTTTTTTTAATTTTTTCGAGAATCCGTTTCTTCTCCAGGAGTCCACTCACAGTTGACGCCCTTGCTTCTGGCTCTAGAACTGCCTGGACATGGACAAACAGACCTGAATCTTTGCATTCATCCTCCTCAGCCTCCCTGAGCAGCCCTTGCAATAGCAAGGGCTCTTTGGTCTGTCCTCCAGCCTGTATCTGGTTGGGTGCGTGGGGAATCTGCTTACCATCCTGGCCATCCTCTTGGACCCTCACCTCCAAAGCTTCATGTACTTCTTCCTCAGCAACACGTCTCTTCTTGAAATTTTTTTACCCCTACCACCATCCCCAAGATGCTGGTGAATCACCTGCATGGGTACACCACCCACAGATGCCCATTTTATGTATCCAGCTTCCTGCAGTGGCGCTTTCTATGTACTTCCAAGGTCTGCATGGCCCGGAAAAGAGGATGTTAACCAGTTCCTTAGGGTTAGATACGGGTAACTGTTTCATTGACTTGCTCTCACTGATTTTCACTCACCTTCTCCCACTGGTGAGAGTGACGACACCCTCCTCGTCTCCTTCCTGTTGCCACGAAGCCTCACTCAGAAGTCTTCAATCATTAAATAATAATTTTTAAACGCCACTTCTTTTCTTTATTAAGTGCTATTTGAATTAGTTTTATATCTTAAACAAAGTATTCCACTCTTCATTTACATTAGAATAAATATTTTTTCGGGGCGGGGGAAGAATAGAATGGAAACCTAATCTATATTTTGTATTGTATCATATTGCTTTCTCCATGCAAAAACTCATTCTTGAGTTCATTGAGTGTCAGGTAATTAGATAATTGATATTTTAAGTGCGTTATCTACTCGGAATACTTGATGAATTGTTCTATATGTGCTCAAAGTGTTTTTATGAATATTTGAGAAATCGAGTGGAGCAGTGAGACAGAGAGGGCAAGGCAGCCAATAAGAGGTGCATTGTCAAGCCCCCGACCTCCGTGGGTGACCTGAACCCGTGGGGAAACCATGAAGTTTTATACCTCTCACAGGGCAAGGTAGCTAGGGTATTGATACAGTAACTTCTACAGATATTGAGGATATTAAGGTCTGCTACTGGGAAGTGTTAGTTACCTGATTTTTTTTTTTTAAGATTTTACTTATTTATTTGACAGAACGAGAGAGCAGGAGAGCACTAGCAGCGGAAGGGGCAGAGGGAGAGGGAGAAGAAGGCCCATTGCCGAGCAGGGAGCCCGATGTGGGGCTCGATCCCAGGACCCTGGGATCATGGCTGAGCCGAAGGCAGACGCTTAACCAACTGAGCCACCCAGGCACCCCAATTACCTGATAGTTTTGACCTGCTGTCCTGTTGTCAGAATAACCTTCAGCAGTTCTTGAAAAAGCCTGCTGTCCTGTTGTCAGAATAACCTTCAGCAGTTCTTGAAAAAGTATCAGACAAAGCAGATACTGATGTCTCAGAGCTGTCCAGAGTGTGCAGGAGAGCCCTAGTGCTATCAACAGGAATTTGGCAGTGTCTGCTACACGCTTCAGTGTGAGTGGGCACTCTCACATCTGTACACTCACCTTCCTGCTCTGCTTTTGCTGGATTCACGTTCTCCACTTCCTTGGTTTATTTCCTCTATTTACTGGAGAACGTCCTTAATGAGCTGCCTAGGAAATGATACTAGGTACTCACAGTTGATGCTGTGAAAGTAAATAAGAAAGTAAGTAAAACACTGAGCTTCTGCATATGTGAAACTCTTTATTTGAATACTTGGTTGATAATTTCATTGAGTGTAGAAAACTGGGCTAAACATAACTTTCTTTCAGAAATTTTTAAAAGAGTAACTTCTTTGTACAAGTTTCCAATATTGCAATTGAAAAGTCAAAAGCCATTTTTATTACAGAGTCTACAGGATTTTTTTTTTTCTTTCTCCCTTTTCTTCCATAAGGAAACTCATTCTTTTTTTTTTTTTTTTTTCTGAGAAATTTTCTTGGTATGTTTTTTTCAGTAATTTTCTCTTCTCTATTTTTTCTTTTTCTTTATGGATATCCTACTGGTCACATGTTGGACCTCTTTTGTCAATCCTATAACTTTCTTATATTTTCTTTCTGTTTCCTATACCATCAACTTTGTTTTGCCCCTCCCCCATGTTCTTTGGGAATATTTCCTTGCCTTTGTATTTTAATTGTTTTATCAATTTTATAAAATGTTCACAGCACTTTAAAAAAGTGTTCTGTTCTTTATGGATATAATGACTACTCACATATAGAATATTAATAATAGTTTCTTTGGAAGTTCTAGTCTCTGCTTTTTTTTTTTTAAGGTTTTATTTCTTTATTTGACACAGAGAGAGAGAGCACAAGCAGGGAGAGCGGCAGAGGGAGAGGGAGAAGCAGGCCCCCTGCTGAGCAGGAAGCCCGATGAGGGGCCCCATCCCAGGACTCTGGGATCATGACCTGAGCCCAAGGCAGACGTTAACTGACTGAGCCCCCCAGGCACCCCTTATATGTTCATTCTTAAGAATAAGACCCACATAAGCTAATTTAAATTCTATGTATTTGGGGAGACTAATCAGTAAGCTATTCTTTCTTTTTGGGAGCTATAGCAGAGGCAGCTAATTGTTTCCCCATATACATTTTCAGGACTTACCTCCTTT